TATCTCATAAATCTTAGTGACAAACGTGTCACTTAGCCTTAATTTTAGATATTAAATAATTTCACTATGGGTAATCCTCTGAGCCTGCGTGAAACCATTTTGAAATTATTTGTATGATGTGTTGCATCATTTTAATATGTCTATTCAAGTTTGAATTAGGAATATTGGATGTAGTATTTCATCTCTTTCTCGTAGCACTTTTTAAAAGAACATTGAAAACGTCAATTTATGTGTGTCATACACAGCACAATTGCTTTTGTATCTCTGTGAAAATGGTACAAATATACAACATCTTCTGTCACTAGACTTTTAGAATGACCACCACTAAGGTTGTCGAAACGTCAGTCAACATCAACACCAACAGTCCTTCTAAGGACTATACTAACCCGGGCGATCTACATCTTAAAATATATATGATGCGCGTTTTGATGAAGTTACCTAACATACAAGAAATATTCACCTTTTGTAAGGTCTTAATTAATGCATATGCGTTTTGATCTGGGAATAACAACAACTTTGTCTAATTGTGATACTTGTGAAGGAACAATTGACCTTATGAAAGACCAAATATTTAACTTCATCATTAACAGGGTTACTGACATTTGGAGTCATGCTCTCAAAGGAATTAATAAGTTAACTGTGTCACCAGTCAATAGCATATCTTTTCCTAAACAATACCTTTTTATAAAAGAAATCAGTTTGAGCTTGGAGTATCGTCAAAATTTATGGAAATTGAATGTTTAGGTCAGCGTTTCGACGTTTTCTTTAGCGGTGGTTTGTGTTACTTTTCTGTTTAGCTCGGAAAAATAACCATTAGATTCAGATTATGTGTGTGCATATTCTTGGGGCGAGGTTAAAGGATTAGAATGACAGGGATGATGTAGAAAACTGAGCAATTTTACATCTTTGAAATGTCCCACGCTGTCGCTTTTTCTAATCAAACTCCTGTTGCTTTGTTGCAAAGGTGTGAAAGGCGAGTATCTGGCGCCTTAAAACCAGACTGCTCTCTTTTTGTTTAAGGCTTCTCATTACGTTGAGGCTGTCCATGTCGGAATTGCATTTTCACGTGGTAAGGGTGCCATTTCCTAGGCATGCTGATGAGCTCTGATATAGGGTGAAACAGTCCTTATAATTCATCATATTAACAATGTTGCGTTAGCAGAATTTTTAGCTAATGCGACCACGCCCATTTATTAAAATTTTGTTCGACCACGCCCTTCCGACTAAGGAATTAAAAATCCTGGATCCGCCCCTGAGTCTCATTCTACTCGCTACGAACGGATCGAGAAGCTCTTTCGTTTCTCTGGAAACCAAAATATCAACTTAGTTGACTGTACCAACGAAACTAGAAACCTATGTGTTATTTTAGTACTAGCATGTTTGTGTTTATGAAAAGGAAAGAAAAATGGAAAGTGAATTTCCATAAAGAATAAAGAATTTTGATGCATTCATTTTTATACCAACTTATTGTAACAAATGATTATGGAAGTATCAAAGTATGAAATGAACGATAAATACAAACGTTATTTGCAAAATCCATTTCATTATCAGGTATTGCTGGCAACTTGATTCTATTGCTGTATGAAATCTTTTTTAACTTATCATTAACAACAAAGCGTATGTCACTTAATTTTATCAGCTGCTTTTCCACCAAACTGAAACTCGCAGTCTGGCACTGTAAAGTATTTATTTTGTTCTAATGTTATAAAATAGATTTGACTATGTTCTTGTGGAGTTTTAAGAAAACATATATCAAAGAATAATTTTCTACTTCTTTCCAGCAACTCAGTAAATACTTTTGCAAAGACGCAACAAAAGAGAGGGTCATAGCTGAGCCATCAAAAACACAATTGGTGACAAAAACTGGTTCACGTGATCTTCCATTTAATGTTAAACTAAAGCATTCACGAAACAATATACGACCAATCAAACATATGACTAAAAATTTGAGCATGTATTTCATTTACACTACGATACTCTTCAGTATTAAGAATTACAGGTTGATCACGGTTTGTCTTAGAAAACGATGATCAATCATTGGTTATTGATGATTGATGATAGATGCTTGATTACACACTTAAGTGTAGTGTACAAAGAAAAGTTAAAACAAACCCGATTGCTAATTACAAAATAACATTTCTGTTTTGTTTTCTTTAGACGACCAACCCCAACAGCCATTGCAAGTTGAAAACAAGACTAGCAATAGAATTTGTTCGTAGTCTTCTCCTGGATAAACCACCACAAGATCGTCCCGTATCTCGACAAAATAGTTTGAGAGTCCCGGTAAGATTTCTTTCTGAGCCTAGCGTTGCCAAATGTAAATTCCCAAATTGAGGATTACGCTTTTCTTGAAAAATCTTATCGAGGGCCTTTTTGGAGAGCTAAGCAATTTTTTATTAGCATCTCTATATTGAGATGAGCAGATATTTCTACAAATAAAATGTCGCAAAGTTTTATCATCATTTTGTTTAGCTTGGATTTTTTGTGCTGTTCACTTCTAGATTGCTTCAAGAACTCTTTCGATGGTTTGCAAGTTTGTGAAAACGTCCAAAGTCCGGATGTAACAAGGTTTTCTTCAGCCAGCCAACGGATCTCTCAAAACATCTTGACCGTTGATCTACGTAGGCAGTCGCTGGCAGAACAGTGTGAGACAACTCAACTAGATCATGGTGATGGTGTAAAACGGCAAGATAGAAATGACTTTGCACAAAATCAACGAATCATTTCTGTAAATGAAGAAGCAAATGACAATGTTATTGATATTCATGATTCTAATGCTTCCAAACAGGCAGCTGGTGTTGATGAATGGACTGGTCAACTTTCTAAAGGTGAAAGTGATTTAGATAGCAAGAAATCATGCAACACAGATCCTTTAGATAGAATCTATGATGCAGATATTCATAATGTTAATAGCTCTCATGATGATAAGGACAATCATCTAAAATCAACTAACTGTAATGTGGAATTATCTTACAGTGATAGCGTAAAAATCGACGATGATGTTTATGAAGAACTAATCATTAAAAAGTTATCAGTTTCTTCAATAACGTGCTACTCTTCGCTCTTCGACAGAAAATGACTTTAATTTGCTGGAGATTCGTGCTTCACAAAAGAACACGAAATGCAGAGTAACAAACATGTCACGTATTAATTCAACAGAAGAAAACAAAGATGACACTTACTACTCCAAGTTCCAAGAAAAACATATTGAACATGATCGTTATTCAAACTTAGATCGACAAAATACTAACTACTTAGAAATGTTACAAAAAAAGTGCACAATGCAATCGTCAAATTCAAGAAACACCATTTATTCAAGAAAATAAAATACCAAGCGTAAATCAGACGAGGACAGTGTCCACTTGAGAGATATTTGGAAAGCTTTGGTGGACGGTGGCTATGACGTTTCTAGAAAAGAAATCTCAAAATACAAAGTTGAGTTGACAGATTCAAGACAAAAATCTGCACCCTCGAAACGAAACAGTTTTATAAATCATCAAAAAGACAAATCCTGTTCTTCGAAATAGCTCTGCAAATTACAACAAGGAGAGCATTGAAATTCCTGTGAATAAATCAATGGGTTGCTTTTTACCAAATGATAAAAAACTTCAATGTTTTGTCCCCAAACTAGATGACAAAAAAGAGGTACATATAGCTAAAATGTGACATTGATATTTTTTAGTTTATGAGTTTAAATCAGCTCAAGAAAAAAGTTGATACTTAGACTTGGAGAGTGAAATGACCATCTGCTTCACTTCTTGTAGTTAGAACAAAACAAAGAAACTTTTAAAAACGGTGAGACCAATCAGCATAAAATTATTGCAGTAAGGAAACCCGTAAATAAACTATCTCAAGGTAAAACTTTAAATTGGAAAACAAATAATCAGTAAATTTCATAGAATATTCACAAACCTTGTTTTTTATTTAGAAATAAAAAGTCTCCGATTTCTCTTGACGGAAGTTTGAAGTCAACACGAGCCCGAAATTGGGTCATTTTTTGTACTTTGCATATGGTTTGAATGTGAATCAAAACAGGTATAATGATTTGTAGCTACTGCCATCTGTACTTAATAGAAAATACCTTTTGATTTGACGAATTTGGGGCTTGCATTTAGGTTGTCTATACAACTACGGTGCAAAATAAGATCACGTCTTTGGGGATTGCTATTTGGCTATAGACTTTAATCAGAAAAAACAGAAGCAGTGTCTTTAAGAAAGTTTTCAAAATCAGTTTTATTGCCATTAACTCTTAGGTGCATTTGGTAGTGACATGGGCTTTCCAAACGTAGTGCAAGATCCTGAATGTTCCGTAGAAGGTTGCGTTTACGAACTATCGTCAGAATATCTACCGCTTTTGGATATATGTATTGCTTCTCCAAAGGTAAACAAACCACTTTAAAATTTTCCATTGACACTTAATTTGCTAGTCCTCCGTCCTCTTTCAATCAGCCTAACGAAAATTTTTTTGCAATAATAACAGGGAATTAGCATTTATATACGTGCAGGCAATATATCCAATACAAAAGTTGAAAATTCAACCATATACTGTCCAATTTGAACAATCAAATAAGCAAATATAATGTATAAATGTATATCAATAATTATGCTTCTCTAGCATTACAAGAGACTGGTTCTACCTGTTTGGATGTGTAAAAATCATGCTCGATTTGAACATGGTATATGTCAACAATGTGTTGCTGCAGTTGTTTATGTTGCTCAAGAAAAATATATCTCGCTAGGTGAGAGAAGCTTTAGTTTCCTCTTACATACCAAAAGCTATTTTCTTTTCATGATTTCATTCCCAACTTGCAATACGATTTTGCATGCAAAACTCATTGAAAATTCAAACAATGCCACACAAACTCGGGTTTTATGAAAGCCAATGAAACCAAGCACAAATAAACTTATCATAGGAAGACATGATGGAAGGCGTTTTTACCGAAATTCAATTTCTTTTCCTAGATTTTGTGCAACTGGATAATTCATTTACCTCGAAGCAGTACTTTATAAAAACTGATTTACTTACTCCAAACTAAGATGAATATTTAAAAAGTTTCAGTATAAATCACGAAAAGTTTCAGGTATAAATCACGCTTTTGCCCTTTGGGAATACTTTTTAAGTAACCAACATGAGCGCAAGTCAACACGTAATGCTGTTCATCTTAAAGCAGAACAAAGTCAACGCGCCATACATTGATGTATTGGGCTCATCCTCTCGACTTGCCATAACATTGTTGGATAGCTGTTGGATTTCTATTTTCTTACGTGGGTCAACATAACGTAATTCGATGTAATCTGAAGCTTTCCATTTAAATTTGAAATCAATCTCTTGCTTTAAAACATCCTCAGTCTTTGATTCGTCAACTTCAAGATACATGTGACGATAATTCAACTCATCAGTAGGACGTGCTGTACCATACTTGCCACAAAGCCAAGGAAAACTGCAAATGTGGAAAAGTGAAGATATTCGATGCCTTTTCCTCGTGTCAAATAAGTCAAAATTGACGTAAAAGCGATAAAAAACATTTACCTTTTCAAATTTTCATGGACACTATCTTTAATTTTGTGATCCTTTGTGAGAAAACGTTCTTTAAATTCGACTGTGTTGGGAGTGGAAGGTTCATCTACAAAATATTACATAAAATGAATGTCACTGGACTTAGAATCTCCTAAAACAAAATGAATCAAATTTACCAGTTTTTGAAGATGACTTGAAACTACGAGAAGTAATTGAATTCAGAATTTTTTCTGTGCTGCCACTGGAAAGTTCATCTACAAAATTTAACACGAACTTTGGATCACTTTCTGAAAATAGGTTTGTATGTCTCATTCATAACCATATGTAACCAAAAAAAGTGAAAAAAAAATTTAAATGAAAAAAAAAACACTTTTAGAAGTGGACTTAATTAAACAGCCCTGTTTTCTTTAATTGGTTATTTATGCCTCTCGTCTTTAGCACAAATGGCCCTAAACAATTCTCATCATGTTTGAGACACCACACATGTAGTTTTACAGCTTTAAATAAAATGAATTGTTTGGATTCTTTCAAATAATTTATATCAATTGAGAAATAATTGTATTTTTCGTGTTTTTATATAAAACGACATACTATACACAACGCCTGGCTATTCATGGTTGACAGTGGCTTACATGTGATTTTACAATTTTTATGTGCTACATAAACAAATTTTACATCTACGGGCCATATACATTGAGTTCTATAAGACCTGGAGGGAAAAAGGGGCCTGGACCCCGTGGTCAAAAACATGGCGGTAATGGCGGACTTTGGTTGTCAAAACTTCCACTTTGAGAAAAATTTTTAACATTCGCTCCCTCCGGAATCCGGATTTTTATATTAATGACAACCAGCAATGTGGCCTGGATGCTGGAAAAGCCAGTGCAGCAGACAGCCGGTCCCAAGCCCGGATAAACACAGAGGGTGGACGTCAGGAAGAGCATCCGGTCCTTAAAAGAATATGCCACATGATAATATGCCGGAGACAATCAGAAGAGAAGACAAGGCTAGGGCATAACCCGTAAGCGATGCGCAGCGGCACTACTGTCTTGACGCTGTGAAAAGAATGCAAGCGAGACAGAAGAGACAGAAGAACTTGAGAGTTGCGACCCTAAACATCGGGACGCTGACTGGAAAGAGCAGAGAAATAGCAGACATGATGAAGAGGAGGAGGATCGACATACTATGCTTACAAGAGACAAGATGGACTGGTGGGAAATCAGGAGGGAAGGAAAGAAACATCAGAGATAGCTACAAGCTGTACTACAGCGGAGGAGGAAAGCCAAAGAATGGAGTGGCTAAATGCCTGAGTGAGGAATGGCAAGATAAAGTGATAGATACCCAGAGAAAGTCCGATAGAATCATAACTATGAAACTGGTAACACCTGACTAGACGTTCAACATCGTGACTGCCTATGCACCTCAGCAAGGTTGTGAAGAAGACGAGAAGCAGAGATTTTGGAACCAACTTGAAGAAGTGACCACCAATGTGAAGGAAACAGAACAGCTAATTGTGGCAGGAGATCTCAATGGGCACATCGGAAGAGAGAGAGTAGAGGGATTTGAGAGATGACATGGAGGAAAGTCAATCGGAAGAAGAAATGAAGAAGGAGATAAGATCTTAGACTATGCAAGGAGCAAGGACCTCGCAGTGGTCAACACATTCTTTACACAGAGGGATGGAATAGATTTCATCATGATAATGGAGAGATGACCTAGGCGATGTTAAAAATTGTAAGGTTATCCCTCGTTGTGATGGATTGTAAGATCAAGAAGAGGAGAAGAATAAGAAGAGAGAGACCAAAGAAGATCAACTGGTGGAAACTGCATAATGAGGAAGGAGATGAGCTGGAAAGTAAGATCACAGAAATGCTAATGGAACAAAGCATGGTGGGAGATTGGAAATGGAATGAAACATACCACAATATACTAGAAGCAGCAAAGGAGACACTGGGAGTTAGTAGAGGTGGGAAATACATAGAAAAAGAATCCTGGTGGTGGAATGAAGAAGTACAAGAGGCTGTGAAGAACAAGAAAAAATTTAATTCAAGAGAATCGAGTGACTGACCATGATGAATTTAGAAATTTGTTTCGGTAAGTTAAGAAATGTGATAGTCTTTTTATTCATGCACTCTTCAAAATTAAGCTAGTCAGTGGATTGTACAATCAATTCAAATTTTACGTTCTTTTTTTAATAATGAAATTTTCTTATTTTCTTTACTTTTATTTACAAATTATAATATTTACTACTTTTAAGGATGGATTCCATTTTGTTTGATGAGCTATGTGAAAAGCTAACACCATTCATTGCAAAGAAAAACACCACTATGAGAGATGCTATATCTGTTCATGATCGCTTGTGTGTAACATTAAAGTTCTTAGCATCAGGATGCTCATATAAAGATTTGATGTACAGTTTCAGAATATCAGTTTCATCTATTTCAAAAATTGTACCTGAGGTTTGTGAAGCTTTGTATAATGTGCTGAAGGAAGAATATTTAAAGCCACCCACAACAAAACAACAATGGTTACACATTGCTGATGAATTTATGCAAATGGAACTTTCCCCATGCAGTTGGCACCATTGATGGTAAACATATCAAGTTGCGTGCACCTCCAAACTCAGCCTCTGAGTACTTTAACTATAAAAAACATTTTAAAATAGTCCTCTTGGCTATTGCAGATGCAAATGCTAAATTCATCTCATTTGATCTTGGAGCCCCTGGCAACCAGTCAGATGGAGGAATTTTTAAAGACAGTCACCTTAAAAACATATGCTATTTCCCACAAGCTGAAGAACTAAGAGATACATTATTGCCTATACCTTACTTTCTGCTTGGAGATGAGGCATTTGCTTTGAATGAAAATCTAATGAAACCATATCCACACCACACTGCAATAGGTGATGAGAAAGTTTTTAACTGTAGACTTTCACGAGCACGAAGAATTGTCGAAAATGCATTTGGATTGATGTGTAGTCGATTCAGATGTCTTTTGAGAACATTGGAGTTGGATGTTTCACATGCAATGCAGGTGGTGAGGGCCTGTATGGCACTGCATATCCAAATCTAAATTGAGAGTCATCTGATTATTTACTGCAAGCTCCTGAAAATCTTCCTCCCTACCAATGACGATGTACATAATATCGACTTCTTTATTAGACACCACTTTCGTTTGATCCGGAACACGGACAATCGGTTGTCCGTTGTAAAAGTATTCCATGCTTTCTTCGTTAACTGTGGCATTTAGATATTCTTGGATTTCCATAAATTGGACTCAGCCACAAAAGTCTTGTTGACGGTCATCCAAATTATTGACAACACCAGCATGAGCACAGGTCAAGGCATAGTACATATCATTCTTAAGGCAGAACATTGTCAACGTTCCAAAACTACCCTCGGTTCTTTCCGCTATAATTTTAGACAGCATTCGAAACTTTGCTTCTTTCAATGGTTTAGATCGTAATTCGATGTATTTCGATGCTTTCCATTTTAACTTTTCATCGATCTCATTTTTGATAGCAGCCTCCGAATTTTCTTTCTCAAAATCAACTGTGACATACAAATAAGGAAACGGCATCTTCTTGTTTGGGCGAGCTATTCCATACTTCCCACAAAGCCACGAACAACTTAAACAAGAAACGATAACTTTATATTCTCTAAAAACTATTTTTCGTAATGTTCCGACATGCACAGGTCAACATACATAATCGATATCCCATGAAAGAAAAATTGCCTTTGGAGAGCCTTGTGAACGTCAGCTTTAATATTCTTACTTTTGTCTAGAAGTTTATGGAAGTTGTCGTCATGATTTGCTTCTAAATATCATAAAAATATAATTGATAACTTTGGTGCACCAACATTAACTACAATGAAACTTCCATAGAATAAGACATAAATAAGACTAAAAATTGACTAATCATATACATGGGATCATAAATTACTTTGTTCTGGATTTCTGATTTTGGTCATGATACGCTAGACGCTTTTATACGCTATGACGTTAATCAGGTCGTATTAATCTTATTCACAAGATTAGAGTGTTTTATCACGTTTTCGACATGGTATAAGAATGGCATTTACAGATATTTTGCACGTAACATAAACATAAAATACCCTTTGCAGAGTTACTGGTTTCGGCCTGAATGTTTTCTTTTGAGGCGTCACGACAAAAAATTCCTATTTGCTCTTAAACAACAGGTACGATAAACAATTATATCAAATTTTTACCGTGGATACGATCATTTAATAAGCTAATTTAGAGTATTTAACAATCAATAACAAAAGAAAGTTTTAGAATAAAAAATATCTGTGGCAAATGAAACGTTTATTTTTCATTTTCTCCAAAACAAATAAACAAATGGTCATTGATATACTTCTATATGTCTTTTACACTGACAGCTACCCTATTATATTGCAGTAAAGAGGTCATCAGGTAAAAGTGAAGGTCTGTTAAAATAATTTCAGACAAAATACCTTCAATTAGTTCATTTGGCTTTAATTATTGCTTACTTTCTGGTCATTGTGGTAAATCTTCTGGTTGTTGCTGCTGGGTTTTTGCTATTTCCTATTTGTTTTCTTGGAATTCTTCATGTTTCTCTACATTTACTTTCTCCTCTTTACGTAATAAAATAGAAGAAAACAAATCTTACTTGGTCAATAAATACTATAAAAGTTTAACGTCCAATAATGACTTTTCCCACATCTATCATACTTTTCAACAACATCAAATTTCTAGTTAATGTAATAAATATACCGTTGGCTCTTGTCTTCCGTGGATCAGTTCTGGATGTTTTTAATGTGTTAGATTCATTCTTCAAAATTCGACTCATACCAAAGTCAGCTATTAAAAATTTGCCCTGTGCGTCTCGGAAAACATTAGACGGCTTTAAATCCAGATGAGAATAGGATATGGGTCGCTGTGAAGATGAGCTAAACCTTTTAAAATTTGTCTGAGAACTTTGGGAAGCGATTTTTGAAGATAAGCCAAACTATTTGATTCCGATTGCACAAAATCCTCCAGCGATTCTTCACACAGGTCAAGTATTAAATAAACATATTCTGATGAAATGACTTCTTCTAAGTAAAAATAATTCACATCATCATTCGATTTTTTTTCGTTGATGTCTTTGAAAATTTTCTTTTCTTCTTGTGTAAGCCCAATGCAGATATCACGAAGTATTCGTTTCACTGCTTTTCCATAGTCATCTTTTCCCAGTCCAAGATAAAAACGAGTTCCATCACTTCGTTTGCCGATGAAAATTCTCCGGAGAAAATTACACGCACATCACTTATATGTTCAACCTTACTTTGGGATCTTGTCCATATTTAATCATTTTAAAAACAATTGTTTATGTTTAGTTGATTCATCAACGCATTTCCACTGCAATTCTGAAATTGGAGTAAAAATATTACTTTTAAAGATTATCAAAACAAGAAAATCGATTAACTCCGCCATTGCCCAAATGATTTGGATAGTAATTGAAAGCACATCAACTTAATTACAACCATTTTATAAATCACTCATTAAAGCATTCAGTTCAGGTAAAGTATTATTGGTATAATGCATCCAGAGGCGAAACTAGAGCGTTAATTGGGGAGGGAAGGTGGTGGGGAATATTCAAACATTCAGCCCTTCTGATTTCTTTTGAAATTAAAATCACCAACAAAAAAAAATGTCTAAATGATATTATTTTTGTAAATATCTGCATTTTTGTGCGTATTACTTAGTTTCTTTTGTATCTCTTCAGACCCCCAAATAGAAATAAGTACCATCATTTCTTCATAAGACCAGGTTTCTCCGCGTTTCGACACATTGCTTAAATAATAAAATAGAGACTTTGTCGTGGTGACAAATCTGAAAATAGTTCTAAAGATAGCAAATACCAAACTGAATGATAAAAGCTATATAATAATTTGATAGTCCTTAAAAGAACTGTTTTAAGTAAAGAGCACTAAACCAATAGTTCTAGATTAAACGACACGATGCATTTCGGCAGACTACTCCTCAGATGTCAACGTCTGCTAAATGAAAATTTACAATTTCTCGATATTTATAATGCCAAGAAAGAGTGTACGTCATCTCAAAAAGGGGAGATGACACTCAAAACAGAGATAAATTGAAAACATAATCCTTTTGTCGGCAGAGGACGGATTGGTTAACTTAATTAAAACAGCCTCCATGACGCGTAACTGAAAGAATGAAGGCATTTCTTAAATGATTCTAAATGAACTCCTCTGAGGACAGTCTAAGCGTTCGCTTTATTAAACACTTTACTAAATAAATCTTTTCTCTGTGTGAAGAAAAAGCGTCAAAGCATGTGTACAAACCCGTAAAAGTTGCCTTGCGATGAATGCTTGTAAAGAATTGACCATTGCGTTTATGGACAAGAACATCCAAAAACGCTAACTGACAATTTGATTCCTGTTCAGACGTATCATTTAAAGAAGGGTGAAGAGAACAGAGTTTATAAAAAAATATTTTGTAAAAATTTTTGGCCCAGACGAGGCAAACATCTTACACTCATAATAGCCAAAAAAATATTAGCAACTACTGGTCCAAGTGCTCTTTACTTAAAACAGTTCTTTTAAGAACTATCAACTTATTATGTTACTTTTACCATTCACTATGGTATTTGCTATCTTTAGAACTATTTTCACATATTTGCTTATAACTGTAAAATATTGCTGCAAGCAAACAAAGCAAAAACGAAACGCGTGATATGTGTGATCGCACGAAAAGCCTGGTTACTAAGCTAAAAACATCGCTACGTAGATGACATAATCACAGCACTACATGCAGACGAGATTGATGACTTCCATACTCACATCAATAAACAGAACAGCCACATACAATTTACCAAAGATGTCGAGGAAAACGGAACTCTTCCTTTTCTCGACTGTTTGGTAAAACATGACAATCAAAAACTAGGAACAACAGTTTATCGCAAGCCAGCACATACTGACCGACTACTAGACCAATCATCTTACAACCCTACATCACACAAAGCCACCACAATCAGAACATTAACAAGACGTGCAAAAATCATTTGTGATTCACCGGACGCTCTACACAACGAAAACAACTATCTCAAACGTGTTTTTGACAAAAACAACTATAACTCTGACTTTATCAAACGCAACACTTACAAAACCAACGAGCCCAACGAAACGAACAACTCAGTGACAACAGCAACGATACCTTACATCAAAGGTACGTCTGAGACTATCTCGCGTATCTTACGACCATACAACATACGTGTCGCACATGAACCAATCACAACGTTACGCCAAGTACTAACGAACATAAAGGACAAAGAACAACCCAACGAACGACAAGGCGCAGTTTACAAAATAAACTGCTCCGACTGCCACGCCTCCTATATCGGGGAAACTGGCAGGAACTTAAACATAAGACTTACTGAGCACAAACGAGCTACTAAGAAACAAGACAAAACTAATCACATTGCCGAACATCACCGAATCACAAAGCACAACATTAACTGGGACTCGGCAAAATGCATTATTTACAGTACTGACTAGAGAAAGGCTTACATTAGAAAGTTGGTATACCAACTTGGAACAAACCCCCCTGAACAGATCACAGCAATTACCGGCACCTTACAAACGACTTATTCACAATACAAACAAACGATCAACTAAAAACATTACACTTCACACTAATACACAATGACAATACACAATTGACACCCACACATTACAACTAAAAACATCACACCTAAATCACACATCACAACTAAAAATAAAAATATTTCACTTCAAACTAATTCACAATGACAATACACATTTCCTGTACACACAAGACAATGACGTAAGAACCAGATAATAAATACGGCTAACCTGACGTTTATTGACTTTATTCCTCATTTGACTCTGAAGATGACCACCGCCAAGGTTGTCGAAACGTCAGTCAACAACAACAAAAACAGTCCTTCTCAGGACTCTACCAACCTGGACGATCTGCATTTACAAACAAACATGTAACGATACTCCCGGGTTCAAACCATTTACTTTAAGCTAAAAACATGTGATTAATCAAGATTGATCTGATTCTATTCGTGTTCCATGTTAACATTATCATGCGGATTAATCCGATTCGAGACTCTAAGACCACCTTTTGAGGTGGCTGAAATTATTTCTGATCTAATTCGTTTTCGCATCACTTGTAAGTGTTCACATTAGCTCTCGTACGGACTCTAATCGATTTCGAATTGATTTAAAGTGTTAGTGTGAATGTGCCCTAAAGTAGCACAAGTTTCTAAATTGAGAATTCGAATAGCAACATGCAAATCGTCAAAACAACTTATTAACAACCAATATATCATAAACCACTTGTTAAAACGAACAATGCTAACAAGAGTGAAGCATATTGCTGATAACTGATACAATGGAATACAATGCATCCTGTCTTCAGATTAGGGCAATCAAGCTTTTAAACAGGCAAATTCAGGTAGAATTTTTACGACTAAGACCAACTTTTGCGAAAAAATTAAAGTTATTTTGTCAAAAATATGCATGTGCGTTAAAAAAGAAAGCGTATTCCACACTAAACATTTCTGTGACAAACAACCTGTTTTATACGTCGCATTTGACATGCGTTGAATGCATTTAAAACAAATGAAATTGAGATAAAATTCCTCATTAGTTTTGTATGCAATCGACTCATGTAAAATGCGACGTAAAAAACAGGCTTTATGTAAATTTTCAATGATGAATTTCAAGTGCTAGCAATAAATCTATAGTTAATATACAAGGTGTATAGAAAATGGTTGACTCTAGGAAAAAAGTTCTCGAAAAGTAGATGCACGCTAAATAACCAAAAACCTTTACTAATTTTAAGTATTTTAACGTTCTTTGACATAGCAGACACTTAAAATTCGGAAAATGCAAGATTTTTTACATTGTTAAAAATCCTTCAAAACAGACCTTTTGAAAAAATAATCAAAAGAAAAACAATTCTATCGTAATTTCAAATTCTTGGCGCACGCGCTGAAAACATGGATTTTTGCGTTTTTGCATTTCATACCTTGCTTCATACAACAAATACACTTTCAAGAATTGGAGTTGATAATTTCATATTGTAATTTATGCAATTTCCCGATAATGCATAAATAGAACTTGATATGATAGCACAAACTCGAAATAATCCAAGTTTTGAAGACATTGATTTTGCCAGAGCGTGCACCAAATTACTTGAAATTTTGATAGGTTGTGCAACACAGTCCATATTTTGAACCTGGGTGATTAAATTGCTATTCCAATTATTAATTTTTGTGCACAGGGCCTGTTTTGAGGAACTGTTAAGAACAGATCATACCACAATTCCCCTCTTTCAAGAACGGTTCCTCGCCAACGGAGGTGTCAGGTTTTGGACAGCAGCAATTACCCATGTATGGAATCTACGGTTAGCTACAAGTCAACAGAAGATTCTTCTTTGTTGCGTCAGTTGTAGTGGCCAAATGTTAAAGTCATTCCATATTTAACTAAAGATAAAAAAATCAACTTTGTCGTTAGAGTTTCTACTTCCAGAGCATACGAATATTCATTCATCACAAAGCAAATGAAAACTTTCATTTGGAATTTTGAATACTTACTCCACTCGAGAATTTACAACTGCCCCCCCCCTCCCTACACACACACACATGATGGAAGACTTAAGTTGATATCATGTTAAGACATTATTAAAGTTCAAGAACAATCCTTTGAAGTATTTCCTAACATGTCATTGACGTAGCAAGACACATTTTTTTGGTGTTATTTGCTTAGAGATTTAACGTTAGTTATATTCATTAATAATAGCACAAAATTACTCAAGGTTTACAGCACCAAACCCTCCCCATCACCAATGACTTGGCCCTCACTATATTAGAGAATTTCATATTAAGTAGATGACATGTGAAAACATAACAATGCTCTAAAGAGGATTCTAAAGTTTTGACAAAATAAACAGAATATAAATAGCTGTTTAAGTCGCAAACACGTTTTGTTTTATCCGTTTACGTACAACAAAACAAATTTATAAATATTTTTGTCACGCCTTGCGGCAACGGACTTACATCTTACAGTTGGAAAATTTGATATTTTAGCTTAAAAAATGCATTTGGGATGAGCGTGCAGTCCCAGCATGTAGTATGGCAGATGAGAATTACATATGGGATTACACCTCAATTACACACGTGATACTTGTGGTTTCTACCATTGCTTTATCTGCTGCGTAGCAGTGGCGTAGACTGCTTGATCAATAATTGGGGAGCCAATACTGATACATGTATGTTGTAATCTCAAGAAAACAATGGATTTCAAAGGAATTTAATACCGATTATAAATGAATATTGCCCTCAAATTATCGAGCTGGCTACGCCTCTGCTAAGTAACCATAGCCTGACATTGTGGATGGGTGATATGATATCATCCATTTGGGGGACATCAAAACCAGATTTTCATACCAATAGCACTTTATTTGAACAGTTTGTTACATTTCACAATATACTATACGACAATCAAATTTGTGAAAACTTTCTTCCAAGCATATAGGGGTAATTTTACTAACTTTAACAATGATTTCTCCAAAATTGTAAAATCTTGAAAACATTTTCTAAAACACAATGAGGTATTTCATGAAGTATTTGATTGCCAAGTGTATAAATGAGTAATAGCAAAACAATACTTGGTATTAGTATGAATATTGTACACAAATCATTTGTATGATGGTATTGGATATCAACCAACAGATCAACTCCTACCTAATCTTGTTTAAATAAAAACAATGTATCTGGCCATAAACATATTTGACTAAAGTATACAAGCTATTTTTATTTTTAACTTTGCTTGTCACATATTTTAGTGCATAAAGTTATACAAAATGGTGCATTAAATTTGATTACTCATTTCTTTTGTGCTAGCTTTAGCATTTCAGATTTTGGTTGCATTTTTAATCTTATTTTCAGTATAAACAAAATATCACAACTTATTCACACGTAGCTAAAGATTTCACACCTACGCAATTCTTCTATTTTGATTATGAAGCATTTGATTCTTTTCAAAACCTCATCAGATCAAAATAACAGCTTTGCTTTCATGCCAGTAGATAAACCTTACAAAATTTTCAAGTTATATCTGTAGAGCCCCAAACTGATTATTTGTATAAAATGTAAAGATTTAAAATGCTATGATATCTATTATGAACCAAACCCAATCTATACATAATACAAATCTTAACACGGTTTTTATATGAACATGAAAAACATGTGACTTCGACAAGATTTGAACTCACACCTTCAGGATACTAGTCTGTCGCTCTACCTGTTGAGCTACCAAGCCCACAAGGATTGGAGACAAGTCAAATCTCTTAGGATTTATATTATGAACCTAACCTAATCTAAATACTGTTAACACAAGAAGTTTCTATTTTGACAATGTCTTAACTTGGCAAAGAAATGAAGAACATAATTCTATTTGATTGTAGATCACACCAGAGAGATTGAGTACTGATAAGTATGTCTTTAAATAAGTTTTACAACATTCACAAGACATGTGAACAATGTGGGGAATCTAAATTCAAACAGCAAGTCCTTTGCTTTGCACAAGTGGCATCATTAAGAACTAAATTATATGGCTTGCATTCCCAATACAAATTACATTCACTATATGTACTTAATAAAAGCAAAGCTTACTTTTACTTATAATGTAATTCTTCATAATGGTTTTTCTTCATTTCAAGAGCTCTGAAATGAAGAAAAGTGTTTCAAGTGTTAACGTATCATGCATGGTTAGTTATGTTTATAAGCTTCATATTTGTGCATTTATTCTCGTTAGCTTTTACTTTCAGGAAAAAACAATTTGGGTGTTTTTGGCAAAATTATAAGATATCAATGACTGCTAATTTGTCAAGCAAGTGACCCTTATCCATTTTATTTTCACACATGCAGCGCTTACAGCGTTTCATGAACTCTATCTACTTTATTGATTCATGTATTTTTTATTTACACACATGTCAAGTATTTATCTATGTCATTATCTATTTTACAATCTTAAATACTTCTTACAGTCGTGAACTCATGTTTTTATAGAGGTCGATATATTCTAGTTATATTTACCACACAGAAGAGAACACAAACTTAAGCAGCTCGAAACTAAGAAGTTGTTTCTTTATTTACATTAATGTTCACAACACCTATCGCTGATACAAATAACGCAAAATAGTTCACATACAAACGACAAACCGAAAGATCGAGAAAGATAAAGCCAAGACAAGACTTCCCAAAAGTAATACTTATGAAAAGGTTTACTTACGTGTCAATTTACCACTCTAATACTAACACCATCGTCACAGAGAATGCACAGAATACTAACTTAATTAACTATACCACTTACTATACGACAACTTACTCCCTGGATAAATATTCATAGGATAACGATTTACGAATGATTAGTGGCTAAAAAATATGGCCGCCGATCCCAGTCTTGCGTTCTTAGGAATTTAATCTTCAATTCAGAAATTTCTTCAGTTGGCGGTAATACAATGTTGTAATATTTAAAGGTAAAATAAACAAGAATTCAATTAAAATAACGAAACATGCATGGAGGCAATTAATAAGCTAGAGTCCCTCGGCAGTATTCATACTTTGAAGTTCCATACACACCAATGATACACACTACAATAATAGAATCAATGGAAATAAACTGAGAATGTAGATCTTGACCTAACAAGGAACAAATGACTGAAAGAGACAGATCTGGCTAACTATTTAAAAGACTGAAATTCATAAATGCAAGCTTGTGGCTTAAAATATTCCATCTTTTGTCTCTAGAAAAATGCAACACAACTAAGCCTGAATTACGGTGGCCCACAAGTACAAGCACACTTACACATAACAGCATACGCGCACAAATTCGAGGATGCACACTTACGCATAACAGCACACGCGCACAAATTCGAGAGTGGCCCACAAGTACAAGCACACTTACACATAACAGCATACGCCCACAAATTCGAGGATGCACACTTACACGTAACAGCATACGCGCACAAATAAATATTCACATTCATGGCTTATTACATGACGCTTCGTAAAATCGGGCTGCAAAAACCGAAAAGATTGCCGGCGAGAAATATTTCATGATTCACATGTTCACAATAGCAATAAGTCAATAACCCAACGATGTTTTGTCCACATTGTGGAAAAGAAAAGGATGAAAATGCAAATTTTTGCGAGAACTGTGGTGCAAGTGTATCAGAAATTAAACCTTCGGCCTCTAGTCAACAACCGTTAACTTTCGAAGAGTACATAAAGAAGAACGCAGTCGCCAATCCTTGCACTGATCGTGGCGATCAACTAGGAAATTCCCACCGCGCTGGTAGTTCGTCTACCTTTCAAACTATTAGAAAAGGAAGTCAAATGAACGATTTAGTCAAATAAAAAAAGGAGAAGAAAGATGAAGTAGTGAAGGTATGTGTATTCAATGTTATGATTATGCCAATTATACAAATTTGGTTAATGAAACTCAATTTTGTGTTGTAGATAAAGATTGGAATAATTGAACTCGACGGTAAAAGACTTAAAATAAGAAGATCTTCTTTACTTCCTGTTGATGTTCGAAAATCAGATACATTAGTTCCTGTAAAGAATGCCGGAGTTCAGAAACAGCTTGCCCACAACAGACATCTCAGAGATCATAATGAAACTGAGTGGCTTTTACTTTACCCTGATATGGATATCGTGGGAAATATTCCAGGAAGCAGTGAAAAATTCTCTGTGGAAAAATATAAAAATGAACTTGGACGTCCATACAGTCGAGTAAATTTGTACATTTGCAAAATGCTTGATTTTGAAGGTAAACACTGAGTTCAAAATAAGTCCGGTATTTTTTGCATTTAGACTGCTGGAGTGAGCATTAGGGGCATTGCACAAGACAAACACTGGCTGTATTGAAAACTGATATGTCATGCAATAAATAATCAAAAGCAGTCACATTTTATTGAAGCAACATTTCTGAGCTTCCCAGAGTTGAATGGGCCTATTGACTGTATTTTACTGGTGAATAAAGGTTCACTACTGGGGCAAGCACAGAGCAAAATGCAAAAAATGCCCTAGTAGATAAAAGTTAAAAAATGCCTTAGAATAATTATCTTGCAACTAACATTAAACCTTCAAAAGAATTTGTTTGTAGGGTTAGTAATTATGTTATATTCTAAATTTAGTAGCCAATGATTTGACTGAAGACCTCAAGGAAACGGTTGTTCCAGATACTGCTGATGTTTTTGAAGATAATTCTGTGCAAGAAAATTCTTCACAAATTATATGTGAACTGGGAAATTCTCAACAAGTCAATGCAACACCAGATAATTTTGTGGAAGTTAATCATGCTCATACCAATGCTGTTCCAGCTAGTCTTGCAAAAGCTAGTCTAGTGGAGGCCAGCCATGTTCAAACAAATCCTGTTCCAAGCAATGTTGTTAATGTTGATAATAGTTGTGTGGAAGCTGTTTCCTTTCAGGTTGATTCATTTTCAGTTGAGCAAATCATTATGGAACCAGGTGAAATGCCTGCGCAAATTTTTCAGGATGCAGGTATAACTAATGAGTTGTTGCATATGTATCCTATACATTTTGTATATTTCATTGTTTTTGTATTTTAAATTTATTTTTTAGATGTAACTGAATCCCTACTAGATATTATTGAACCAGAGCCAAATCTTGTACAACCAGCTCAAGTTAATTTACCCGAGGAACAATTGCATGTGCTAGATCTGCTAATCCATCGCACAACCCTTTTGAAAGATATGATAACAGAATTTTATAATCCAAATGTATTGAAATCTACTATATTTTTTAAAGTAGTTGATGCAAGAGGTATGTTTGAGGAGGGAGAAGGAAGAGGTGTTGCACGTGATCTTCTTACAGAGTTTTGGCACCTTTTTTTATCAGTCATTATCTATTGGAGCATCTACCAAGGTGCCAGCCATTCGTCATGATTATCAAAAGCTGGAATGGGAGGCAGTGGCTAGAATCATGTTGTATGGCTACTGCAAAGAAGGAGTGTTCCCCATTACATTGTGTTCAGCTTTTGTTGCATGTACTCTCCATGGTGAAGACAGTGTTTCTTGTGAAGTGCTGTTAAACTCTTTCATGGAGTATATGGCTGAAGACGAGAGAGAAGTGGTTGATAACTTAATGAAAAATCGATCACAGATATGTAAAAAATGAAGACTTACTTGAAGTTTTAGGAAGCTACAAGTGCTATCTCAATCCCACAGAAGAAAATATTGAAGATATATTATGCCAATTAGCTCACCAAGAACTTATCCAAAGACCGCGGTACGTTTCCAATTGTTGGGCAACAATATTGCAATCATTGAAAAGTCATCCTGCGTTTCAAGATGTTGCAAGCATTCTTTGCTTTTACCAAGAAAGAAAACCCACGTCCAAAAAGGTTTTGAAAATTCTAGATGCCTCCCCCCGAAAATGAGGCACAACGAAATGCATTTGATCATTTGGTGCGCTATATAAAGTCTCTAGGTGGCAACGTAACCGCGTTCCTTCAATTTACCACAGGTTCTGATATCATTTTAGAAGGTCAAAAGTTAAAAGTGTCATTTACAGAACTTAATGGTTTACAACGTCGTCCTGTAGCACACACATGTGGACCATTGCTAGAGATTCCCAGCACTTATCAATTTTATAATGAACTTGTAGAGGAGTTTTCGTCGATCCTAAGAGAAAAAAGTGCCTGGTCGTTTGACATTGTATGAAAGTTCTATCACATGTTTTAGCACACTATTATGACATATTATATTGTGTTTTACATTGTAGAAACACTTTTTTTAGTTCACTTTTGTTAAAAAAGATTTTATGGACAATGATGTGGTGTCATATGAAGATGGAGGTTATGGACCTTCCCTGAATATGAAATTATCTTATTTCTTTATAAGATTACCATATACGTTATCGTTTTGAGTTATTAATGTTAAATATGTTTTGTTCATTGCTATTTGCTTTAAGCTGCTTCTAGAAGTCTTTCATATGCCATTAAAGCTTCTCTCCATGTCTGGATCTGTCCTATTTGTAACACACCAGCACTATACGAGAAGTATTTTTGATATGTAGAGACCTTTTCTGTCGACACATTAACTGAATTGTAAATCTCTATAAGATCTTCGTCGTCATATTGTTTCTGAAAATCTTCAGCTCCAACTGCTTCAGGTAGAAGGTAAAGCTGATCAGGGATCCCCGCATGAGTGTAAAACCTGGATTTGCGTACATAGTGACTGTTCCACGATTCCTTGATTTGGTCAAGTCCTTTTTTTAAGACAGGACTAAAGCAAAACCATAGACATTCAAGTTGAAGTACGTTGCTTGTGTCTAAAACCCTTTAGCTATCAAATCCTTAAAAATTCATCCACCACGAGGCCCACGAGCGACGTAACATGGCCCACCATGCTTCTATTCGCTGATTGCTGTGTGATGATCCATATTGATGAGCATTGACGTCAGAATGTGTGTCCGTACCATCTCGGCGTAAGAAACACTGGGCTGATGCCATAATCCCATTTTCTGTTCCCCTATCTGTTCTAAGAATTTTAGGACAGAGTTGCATATTAGATATGCAGTCGTAAAATAGCCTGCCCACTACGCGGGATCATTATTTGAAGGAACTATATTTAACCACAGTATTTTCCTGCTAAATCCATCTATACACCCATGGATGGGGAAACCATACGGTTTAAGTTTGTCGTAACCATCGGCATGCCAGCAATAATTTGGCCCCGGATTCATGTAAGCTCTTCTACGAAGACGGTTAGCCCGTCTCCATTTCGATCCCTCTGGATCCACTTCTTGAAGGGTGGTTTGAGCAACCAAACGAGGAACTTGCAAGCCATATTTTGACTGCAATCGTCTCCACATGGCTCTATAGCCCAACAATTTACCACTTCCATCTAGTTCTCGAACAATGCATCTTCTTACGTGGTCTTTATCAACGGTATTTCCACGTCGTTGCAATCCATAAAGCTTAAGCTTATTCAGCAAAGTACTTCTAGAGATGCGAATTCCATGATATTTTTGTAATAGCTGTAGAATTGTATCATACGTGTAGTTTTTAGTAAAATAGTTGCGAATGATATCTTCCATAAGTCTTTAAAGTAGTGTTTAGCAGCGGAAAGAAATGTCAAGTAATAGACTGCCGGCTTTTCCTTTTTAATTTTGAACTTACGTTTGTTAGTATTCGAATTTTTGTGCGCGTATGCTGTTATGTGTAAGTGTGCTTGTACTTGTGGGCCACTCTCGAATTTGTGCGCGTATGCTGTTATGCGTAAGTGTGCATCCTCGAATTTGTGCGCGTATGCTGTTATGCGTAAGTGTGCATCCTCGAATTTGTGCGCGTATGCTGTTATGCGTAAGTGTGCATCCTCGATTTGTGCGCGTATGCTGTTATGTGTAAGTGTGCTTGTACTTGTGGGCCACCGTACTGAATAGACAAAAATTCAACAACTTTGACTTCGTCATCATTCTTTTAACAATTTCAAAGCTGCAACAAAGGAAATACTAGGAAATGGTCACAACCTCACATAAAAGCGTCATTTTATTCAAATATTACCAATTTCCCCAATTCAATAGGTTGTTCTTTTTATGCGTATCAATCTTTTACCCTTTGCAGTGGTACTTGTAGTGTATGGGGCGCCATCTGTGGTTTTATTATTTAACCGCATAACACTGTGATTTTCCCTGATTTATTAAATAACCAATTTCTTATTTTGGTTATTTAATAAATAACCACTTTATGACAACATCGAAAATTGGTTATTTATTAAATAACCAGTTTCTACACACGCCGAAAATTGGTTATTTATTAAATAATCATTTTCTACACACGCCGAAAATTGGTTATTTATTAAATAACCAGTTTCTGCGCACGCGAAAAAATGGTTATTTATAAATAACCAGTTTCCGCGCACGCGGAAAAATGGTTATTTATAAATAACCAAAATAATTTCGAGACACTTGGCGTGCCAAAATGACGTCAGCAAGCAATAAAATAATTTTCTCAGTCCCCCCCTGGATAAGCACTCATTTCCGCACTGTCGCGTTATTGAAATTAGATCGCTTGTCGCGAAAAATTTCATTTTGTCTGTAAGTTTCCCGCTCGGCGTGTTTTCTATTTGTCTTTTTTGTCAAATAAATATGTCTCAAACGCACAATCTCCAAAGAGCAATTATCGAGGCCGTAGGAAGAGCAGTACACGAGGCACTGCGAGATCAACATGAAGAGGTAAGATACAAAGCAAAATATTCTCCGTTCATACTTGTAAATATTCAATGTGTGATATGCGTCGAATCACGAGGTCGTCGATTTTACGTGATAAAATTCTTACAATTTTAGTCCTCTGATGCAGCTACTGCCCACGAAAATAATAATGAACCACAGGTAACATTCTAGTGTATATGGGTGCACGTTTCTTGTAAAATGTACGGTGGCCCATAAGGGACACGACCAGTTTCTCCGTAGAAATCGAGCTTCTCCGTAGAAATCGAGCTTCTCCGTAGAAATCGTGGCCCATAAGGGACACGAGCAGTTTCTCCGTAGAAATCGACCTTCTCCGTAGAAATCGAGCTTCTCCGTAGAAATAGACCTTCTCCGTAGAAATCGACTTTCTCCGTAGAAATCGACCTTCTCCGTAGAAATCGACCTTCTCCGTAGAAATCGACGTTCTCCGTAGAAATCGACGTTCTCCGTAGAAATAGACCTTCTCCGTAGAAATAAACCTTCTCCGTAGAAATAACTACCGTGAAATTGGCACCACATTGGGCACCACAATCAACACAACATTCATCACGACATTCATCACCACATTCAACTAAAATTTATCATTCAAAATGATAAATCGAAAAATCGTCTTTAAAACACGTTTTCCAACAGATACAACAGTAATAAACAGTTAAGAATTGTTTTTTACTGTCCTTAACCATCACAAAGAAAGTATAAAAGTCAAAAAATTGAAGAAAACACAAAACTTTAGGTTACAGTGTACTTTTCATTTCCCTTAATTAGAGTATAATTTAAAAACTACACTGTAGAATTTTTTTAAACTTGGCCAGAATATAGATAATTATATTGTCTAAAATATATCGAAAATCTGGAGAGTGCACAAAAAAATAAGTTTTAGAAAATCATCGACATAGTTACGTGACAAGAATGCGCGTAATATGATCTTATATAATTAAGTTAAGAATTTCAAGTCATTGCTAAACAAGGGCCTGTAAATAAAAAACTACGCTGTAGAATTTTTTTAAACTTTGCCATATTGTAAATATTCTTATTGTATATAACATATCCAAAATCTGGAGAGTGCAAAAATATAAAAGGAATAATATTCCTTGAGAATGTACTCTGGTATAAACCTTGAAGTTGGCACCACATTCAACAAACAGCTCTAAAGCTAAAAAAATACACCGTAGAATTTTTTTAAACTCAACTATATTATAGAATTTTATATTGTCTAAAATATACCCAAAATTTGGAAAGTGCACAAAAATATAAATGATAGAAAAACATCGACAAATTTGGATGACTCAAATGCGCGTAGTATAATATAATTCTCGACTTAATTATATAAGATCATATTCGTGTGATAAAATTAATGCCCAACATAAAGTTCTGATTAGAGCCATGAAATAGACAAAAAACAAATTGTAAAATTAAATTTATTGTGACGTTTCGTCTTTACTCAAGACATCTTCAGACAAATAATAAATAGGATGTTAAGACAAGATATTATATTTACAAAAAGGTGTTAAATTACTACTAAAGGAAGCGGTGTCGAATGGATACATGATAAGGAAGTTAGGAAGTAAAATAAAGAGAAATTGAAAGAGGTTAAGTGGAATGGAGTTTCCTTGCACATTAAGTGAAGGCTTGTATTTATTGATTAGAAGGCTTTCATGAATGGAGAGTTCATAAGTATCGTTGGAAGAGGAGATTATTTTAAAGTCGTCTAAGTTGGGGTGTGTCCAGTTGCGTTAATGTGAGCAAGAATGCTTGATGATGCAGGGTGGGAAACTTGGTTGCCTGTAAGGGGGGATATTCCCAAGTGCTCCGAAAATCTGGTGTGTAGATGACGTGTGGTTTGACCCACATACGAGGCGTTGCAGCTTCGACACTTGAATAAATAGACTACACCAGATCTCAGCGGTTTGGGAATTTTGTCCTGGGGAAGAAAGAGAGATACGTTGAGAAGGGGGAAAAAATTTAATGAATATATGTGGGAAGACTGCAGCACAAAGGCTATTGATTTGTGTGCGAATTTGAAGGGAGTGTATGCCGGTGAAAGGAAGACAGAAATAGATGGGCATTTTGTGAGCAGTCAAGACAGGTGGTTTAGGGGCAAAGGTGTTGTTAAGGAAGCGACGTGTGATTTGGTCAATTATACGTGAAGGAAAACCGTTTTTGGTGAGTGACTTTCTGGTAAATTCGAGTTGTGTATGAAAATTTTCGTAAGTAGAACAAAGGTTGAAGATGCGGTGTAGTAAGCAGGAGACTAGTGAAAGTTTGTAAGTGGGATGAAGCTGTGGAAGTTAGTGAAGAGGCCAGTGAAAGTAGGTTTGCGGTAGACGGAAGTGGTGAATGTTCCATTAGTGCGAGAGATGTCAATGTCAAGAAATGAGAGCTTTCTGTTTTGTTCGACTTCAGCTGTGAATGTGATGTTGGGGTGTTGTCGGTTCAGATAGTCAAGAAAAAGAGGGACGTGATCGGAGGAATGAAAAAGTAAAAAACAGTCGTCAAGGTAGCGTCGGTAAAGTAGTGGTTTGAATGAAGAAGGACATTTATTGAGCCAGGATTTTTCGTGAAAGGACATGAATATATCAGCAAAGAGAGGGCCCAATGGACTGCCCATAGCCACACGATCAATTTTCTGGTACATTTTCCCGTTAAAGATAAAGTGACAGTTCTTAACAGCTAGAGAGAGTAGTTTTCAAATTCTGTTGCAGTGAGTCCGTTGAAGTACTGGTGGTTGTTAAAAATTCTTTTGGATATTATGTGGATGGTTTCGTCAACAGGTATGTTAGTAAATAGGGATACGACATCAAACCTAGCAAGGACAACATTACTGGAGTTGATATAGCAGTTTAGGATTTCTTCAACAAACGAGAAAGAGTCTTTGATGATGAGGTTGCTTATAGTGAAGGGTTTTAGGAGTGGGATGAAAAACTTTGCTAGTTTATACGAATAGTGATTAATGGAGGAAAGAATGGGTCTGAGAGGGATGTTACATTTATGTATTTTAGGAAGGCCATACAATATACCTATTCGTGAACCAGTAGGGTAAAGTTCTTTGTAAGTTTCTTGGCCGATAGATTTGGCATCTTTCAACTTTTTTAATAAAGACTTGACTTGATTTTCTCGTTGTAAAGTCTTTGACTGGTTCTCCATTAAGAGGTTGAAACTCTCTAGTGTCAGATAAGAGTGTGTCCATTTTCTTTGTGTAGTCGTCTTTGTTAAGTATTACGATGCCATTTCCTTTGTCATGTTTAGTGATGCGGATAGTTCTGTCGTTTTTTAAATTATTTAAAATGTTCAAGTCTTCTTGTGAATATAGAAAAGGTGGTGGGCTGTAACTTCGGAAACCTGAGTGGGCAATGTCTTTTAATTTGCATTTGATCGAGTCTGGAAAAAATCCTGATGATTCATTAACAGGTTCTCATTTGAGACGGTTGTAGAGTTTTTCAAAGGGTGTTAAGAAGGTGCAAATGTTTAACTTTTTCGGTGGGATGGAAAAGTTTAAGCCTTTTGAAAGGATTTCTTTCTCTCTGTCAGTAATTTTTATTTTACTTCCTAACTTCCTTATCATGTATCCATTCGACACCGCTTCCTTTAGTAGTAATTTAACACCTTTTTGTAAATATAATATCTTGTCTTAACATCCTATTTATTATTTGTCTGAAGATGTCTTGAGTAAAGACGAAACGTCACAATGAATTTAATTTTACAATTTGTTTTTTTTTGTCTATTTCCATGGCTCTAATGAGAACTTTATGTTGGGCATTAATTTTTATCACACGAATATGATCTTATATAATTAAGTCGAGAATTATATTATACTACGCGCATTTGAGTCATCCAAATTTGTCGATGTTTTTCTATCATTTATATTTTTGTGCACTTTCCAAATTTTGGGTATATTTTAGACAATATAAAATTCTATAATATAGTTGAGTTTAAAAAAATTCTACGGTGTATTTTTTTAGCTTTAGAGCTGTTTGTTGAATGTGGTGCCAACTTCAAGGTTTATACCAGAGTACATTCTCAAGGAATATTATTCCTTTTATATTTTTGTGCACTCTCCAGATTTTGGATATGTTATATACAATAAGAATATTTACAATATGGCAAAGTTTAAAAAAATTCTACAGTGTAGTTTTTTATTTACAGGCCCTTGTTTAGCAATGACTTGAAATTCTTAACTTAATTATATAAGATCATATTACGCGCATTCTTGTCACGTAACTATGTCGATGATTTTCTAAAACTTATTTTTTTGTGCACTCTCCAGATTTTCGATATATTTTAGACAATATAATTATCTATATTCTGGCCAAGTTTAAAAAAATTCTACAGTGTAGTTTTTAAATTATACTCTAATTAAGGGAAATGAAAAGTACACTGTAACCTAAAGTTTTGTGTTTTCTTCAATTTTTTGACTTTTATACTTTCTTTGTGATGGTTAAGGACAGTAAAAAACAATTCTTAACTGTTTATTACTGTTGTATTTGTTGGAAAACGTGTTTTAAAGACGATTTTTCGATTTATCATTTTGAATGATAAATTTTAGTTGAATGTGGTGATGAATGTCGTGATGAATGTTGTGTTGATTGTGGTGCCCAATGTGGTGCCAATTTCACGGTAGTTATTTCTACGGAGAAGGTTTATTTCTACGGAGGTCTATTTCTACGGAGAACGTCGATTTCTACGGAGAACGTCGATTTCTACGGAGAACGTCGATTTCTACGGAGAAGGTCGATTTCTACGGAGAAGGTCGATTTCTACGGAGAAAGTCGATTTCTACGGAGAAGGTCTATTTCTACGGAGAAGCTCGATTTCTACGGAGAAGGTCGATTTCTACGGAGAAACTGCTCGTGTCCCTTATGGGCCACGATTTCTACGGAGAAGCTCGATTTCTACGGAGAAACTGGCCGTGTCCCTTATGGGCCACCGTAAAAATATGTGCCGTTGAAAACGTTTAACTTATTATCTAACATTAAAGTTTTTTCCAAAATCCAACCGTAGCCCCAGCGACAGCCACAGCGTCAGACAACGCTCACACAGTTGTCACAAAGTAGAACAAGTAGCTCTAGCGCTGTAAGTTGGCCAATGTTTGTCTGATTATTATCATGCATGACTGCACTATCAAAATTTTTTTAACACCTTGTTTTGTCTGCTTAAAAAAATTGCTATAAATGCACCTCATTGTTATATAACTATGATTCAATGTGGCTTTTCAATGGCAATTTACTACAGGCAATCAATCAAATGAATTATGTCTTACAGACCAGACCTCTTCCATCGATTTTTGAAAGCAGTTGTATTCAATAATCAAATGTTGGTGGTAGAAAACGGAAAAGGTCATCAACATCCCAATCAAAGTCTGCAAAGCTTTACACAAAAGATGTTGTTTGCCTTTTACCATCAGAAAATGGCAAAGATATTCCAATTCCTCGTGGAAATAGCCGAGGTTGCTTAGCTAATATGGGTTTAATTGGAAAAATCTCATTAAACTCCACATGGGTAGCAAAGGATGTTACCCGTGAAATAACAAGCATATTTGCCTCAGTTTTTGACTTGCTACCTGGTGAACTGCTGCCATTTGACTACTTAGGGCAAGTATTTTATGTTTTACTACACTTATATTGAATTCTGTCACCAATATCAATATGCACAAAAATTTGTGATTGAGTCATTGCTAGACATTATTGACGATACTTTTGATGATATGATGTAATGATGATATTTTTTTATTTCCCGCCCATGATATATTTTGAAGAAGAAAGTGTCCAATTATAAAGTAGCTACTTTGTTTTATCTTTATAGAATAACCAAAGGTACAAAAAAGCTTTCCATTTCTAAGACATCAACTTCCTTCCAATGGAATGCTCCAGAGGTCATATCACTGTGTTCTCAAGGATGTTTATACATCATTTCCAAAATTAAAATTGGGAAAAATGAGGATGTTGATTGAGCTTTAATTGTTGAAGTGAGTCATATAGGGTGATACTTTCGCTATGTCTGTTGTAGCAGTAATTGTTCTTCATCGTAGTGTTGGTTTCTTTTCTATTTCAATGTATATCGCCATTGCCTTGAATGAAAATTTCAGGATGACTCCGAACAGGATGATTTTGATAACAAACTTTTAAATATATCAATGTCTACGCCTCGGGCTGCGCAAAGTGTGTCAGGGGGATCAATGACTATACCTGGCGCTGCACAAAGTCATTCAGAGGGATCGATGACTATACTAGGTGCTGCACAAAGTTTTTCAGAGGGATCAACTAGCCATCATACAACTTCCACCATTGAGAGCAATCACTATAGGTCAGTATGTATTGCTGTCAGATACCATTTTACACTAGTAGGTTGGGATACACACTATGTTACTGATTTTTGTTTTAAAAATTATTATGCAACGTCTGGATTTACTGTTTCTGTTTGTGATTGTTGGTTTATATATTCACCAGCTATTTTGGAATGACAAATTTATTGCTATGAGTTTAAAAACAATATTGGATGATAACGTACGAACGACTATGTTATTTCCAGTTTATTAATATGCATGATAATTACAATGACATAGTAGAATAAAAAACGAGTAATTATATACAGCTTATCTTTAGCAATGTATATGCTGTTATGAAAGAGTGTCCTGTAACAAATTTCTTTTGTGTTAAATTCTTTTAGGTCATTCTTAGGATTGCTTGATCCAGATCCCATTGAAATTAGCGATGATGACAACGATGAGGTGCAGACAGCTATTCAAAATAGCATGGGCTTAGCAAAGTATGGTAATCAGCTAAAAAAAGCGTTAGCGGAAGACAAGATGCCATGCTAATTTTTTTCACTTGGTTATTTGTCTTTAGCGATTCAAGCGCGCAACAAATGGTTAGTACTGTTTTGAATGACCACATAGATAAAGTGATGGTTGGAAAATCCTGTGACGTAGCCATATCTAAAAACATTATTAACGTTCGCCGCAAGCATGTATTTGAAGACGGTATTGCCAAGCTAGGAAAAAAAAAATTTGATCCTTCACGTCCGTTGTCTGTCATGTTTGCCGACGAAATCGGGTCTAGCGAGGGTGCTGTGGATCTAGGAGGGCCGACACGAGAATTTCTCCGCCTTGCAGTTTCAGGAGCCTTTTCTTCGAAAGCGTTCCTGGGATTGCCCTCGAAAAAGGTGCTGGTTATGAACCAAGAAGGTAGTCGTGCGTTGATTGTCTTCATGCTAAAACTGAATTACGTAGATATAAATTTTTGTTAAATTTAGCCGAAGGGATTAATGTACGTTGTCAATTTAGCTACATAGCTACAAAAGCACGTATCGAACAGCATAATTGTGTTTCCTTTACATCCAGCAAAGAGGAAAAACTTGTATTTTCAATGTGGAAAACTTCTTTCCGTTTCCTTGTGTAATGGTGGAACTGCAGGACATTGTCTATCCCCCTCTATGTATGACTTCATTGTATTTGGTGAAGAAAATTGCCACCCATGTATCGACGATGTACAAGATTGTGAAGTAAAAAGTATCATAGAACGGGTAAATATTTGCTTTTTTATCAATAGTGAAAAGTCTGACGTTGTATCTCGATATTGAGCTGGCATTTTCACAAATCATACTTCCTGTGTAGATCAGTCCTACTACAGAAGAAACAACGTTTGCAACTATAGTAGGATCTGATGATGCCATTGATGTTTTGCACAAGCTGGCTTTCACGGCATTCCAAAGTTTGAAACAAGAAAACAGCTTGTGGAAGAGCTTTGTCAATTTTTTGTAATTGATAAAGCGAGCAGTGCAATTGAGCAGTTCAAGGACGGGTTAAAAACACTGGGTGTTCTTAGCTTATTAAAAGGAAATCCACTTCTCTTCCGCCCATACTTCTGCCATCGTAGCAAGCCGCTGACCGCGATAGAAGTTGACAGAATATTTACACCAGATTTTTCAGAAGATGGTTGTCGAAGACGTGAAAGGAGGAGCTCGTTATAATGCATTGGCGTGACTATCTACAAGAGTGCGAAGGTACTTTAAAAGCTTTTTCCATCACCTTAAAAGATCGAAGTGATAGAAATGAAATAAACGCCTCGTATCTATAACCTCTAGGGTCTATTTAATGCCCCAGGCATTAATTGCATAATAAACGTTATTCAATTGCTTGTTATCAAACGTGTTATCAAATAATTGCTTTTGACGAACAATCCATTTCAAAAGTACAACTTTTATTTATTTTCTCTAGCAAACTGCTTTGCCAATGTTTCAGAGCCTCTTGTATCTTTGCCGATGATTATGATTTTTGCAACTGGGTTGGAGGAAGAGCCTCCCTTAGGATTTCATGACAAACCAACTATTTGTTTCTGGGAAGATGTTCGTCCCAAAAGCAACACCTGCGCTCACATTTTGTATTTGCCACTTCATAATGATAAAGATGATCTTAGTTATGAAGAATTTCAAGAAATGATGAACGATGGGATTCTGAACTCACCTACATTTGGTGCTCCATAGACATGCATGTATAAGAAAGCTGTTGAAGTTAGAGTCTAAGCAATAGTTGTGTTGATTTAATTTACGATTTGGTAATGATGTAAAACAACGTATTTCTAACTGACGTATCTATATTCCTCCTAGCATGTCATTACTGTATAAAATAGTTAGTGAAGACTATATTTTTTTCTACTCATATATGACTTGTCTTGTTTACGTTTTGCTGGCTGGCAGATCAATCCCAAGAGAGGTTGACCATTGTTGCTAATGTTCTCCAAAAGCCCTAGACCAAATCTGCCTGCTAGCAAAAGTAAACAAGGCAAGTCATCTATTGTGCATGCAAATCTTCAGGGTTCTGCTCATCAAGCATTGACTGTCCCAAGAAACGAACAGCCTCAAGGTATGCTGCTTTTCCGCTCACTGCCGAAAGAGATTGAATGAATGTACTAAAATTTTGCAACTGTAAGTCACCTTGCAAAGGGCATGATATAACTGGTACATTGACGTGAGGTAAATCACTTGACGCTAGTTCTTCAATGTCAAGATTGCTTGTGTTTGGTAGCATATCATCTTCATGGTATGCATTTCTAATGTTAACCCAAAACAATTGTTCAGGTGTTTTGTTTCCTTCTGTAGATATTTTATGGCTGTTGTGAGCAGCAACAAACTCGTCAAGGATTTTGTTGATTCGTGGCAGATACACTGAATGGAGGCAAAATATATCAGTGTCATTATTGACATTCAATACACCTTCACTTTCAAGTGCATAAAATTCAGATCTAAAACTTGTTAGAACTTGTTCATTTAGTGCTCTGTTATGCCTTTCGATTCTCTGATTGTGCACTGAATTCCCTACAACAACCGGCTTAGTTTCATTGCCTCGTGTTAAAATCATGTTGTGCCAGATGTCAACATTTTCGCCAACAAGATCGGTACAAATTCTATAAGGACGCCCATACTTCGAGACAGCACATAAGAAGTGATATAGAACAGTAGTTGCTCGATTGTTTGAAGAACAATGTGCAAATACCACTAATCGACTAAAACCATCGATACCATGGTGTATGACAAGTCTCCATTTAACAAGTTTATGGTTCCCATCAATATGCCAAATATAGTTGGGAAAAGGATTAGTATAAATGCGACGCTTTATTGGTTTACTTTTTCTCTCTTCGACACCTAATGGATCAACCATATGAATGGCTTTTCTCACTTTTTGTCGCTGAATGTAAAGACCCCTAGATTCAAGGTACCCTTGAACCATGACCTCGCCATCCTTAGGATGATTTTGTTTAATGGCGTCCACTTCTTTCTCTATTTCGTCTTGTGACAATTGTGAAAAGTTTTCTCGATACAACCCATAATCCGACATTGCTTTGTAGACCACTGACCTGTCGACTTTCAACTGTCTGGCAATTTCCACAATCGTAAGTCGTAACTGAAGCAAATTTTCCAATACATCCCTTGGAATTATTTTCTTTGGTCGACCAACTCTTCCTGAATTGTTACTGATTAAAATGAAATGAGTTCAATACAGATGTAGTACTACAAAAATACCACATAATATTTGCTAAGTTTTCTTACCCCTCATTTTCATCATTTGAGTTGGAATTCTGGCAAAGTTATAAATTTATCAAAATTTAACGATGTTTTTCACTTGGATGCACCCATATACACTAGAATGTTACCTGTGGTTAATTATTATTTTCGTGGGCAGTAGCTGCATCAGAGGACTAAAATTGTAAGAATTTTATCACGTAAAATCGACGACCTCGTGATTCGACGCATATCACACATTGAATATTTACAAGTATGAACGGAGAATATTTTGCTTTGTATCTTACCTCTTCATGTTGATCTCGCAGTGCCTCGTGTACTGCTCTTCCTACGGCCTCGATAATTGCTCTTTGGAGATTGTGCGTTTGAGACATATTTATTTGACAAAAAAGACAAATAGAAAACACGCCGAGCGGGAAACTTACAGACAAAATGAAATTTTTCGCGACAAGCGATCTAATTTCAATAACGCGACAGTGCGGAAATGAGTGCTTATCCAGGGGGGGACTGAGAAAATTATTTTATTGCTTGCTGACGTCATTTGGCACGCCAAGTGTCTCGAAATTATTTTGGTTATTTATAAATAACCATTTTTCCGCGTGCGCGGAAACTGGTTATTTATAAATAACCCTTTTTTCGCGTGCGCAGAAACTGGTTATTTAATAAATAACCAATTTTCGGCGTGTGTAGAAACTGGTTATTTAATAAATAACCAATTTTCGATGTTTTCATAAAGTGGTTATTTATTAAATAACCAAAATAAGAAATTGGTTATTTAATAAATCAGGGAAAATCACAGTGTTATGCGGTTAAATAATAAAACCACAGATGGCGCCCCATAAGATATCAGGCCGTGTAATTTGAGTAGGCCATGTATGAATACATAAATGTTATATGAATACATAAATGTTATATGAATACATAATGTATGTGAATGCATAATGTCATATGAAAATATAAATGTTATATGAAAACATAAATGTTATATGAATACATAAATGTTGTATGAATAAAAAAATGGGTAAATGATTTAGAAATGTATTGTTTGTTTCACAAAAGAAATCAATTTTTCACTCTTGAGAAGTCTTTGAAGCTGACATTTTCGAGAAGTCCCAAATTTTTTAAGCCATCTTTTAATCTCATACAAACATAGTATGTCTCGTCTCCGTCGTTCACTTTAGCAATGCCATAAGCAAACGGTATTTTTTTCATATTCTCATCATAACAATAGATCAGTGATCCTGAATCTCCTTTCTCGAGAAATTCGTGATCACTCTTTACTGCCACCACGTCGCGATATGAAGGTGTTTCATTTTCATTGGAAGGAAAAGAATAATTGACGTCGAAAATGGTGTTCTCTCCAGATTCCCTACCAGCTTTATAAACTTTTTGAATCCCAACATTCTCTGACAGATAACCGATAATGTCATCAAAAGATCCCGGTACCTCTATTTCAGCTGCAGTAAATTTAGTTGCTTTATCATCAACCAAGATGGCCATGATATCGGTTTCTTGATTATATGAGTAAGCAGCCAATTTGCCAAGAGCTATTTCAGTTGTTTTTTTGGGGATGTAGAAATATTTGTTTTCATGTAAATAGTTAACAGCTCTTGCTTCGTTTTCCCTTTGGTGTCGAATGTACAAGAACGTCCTTTGATCTTCGGGAATACTTTTTGGGTAACCAACATGGGCGCAAGTCAACGCGTAATGCTGTTCATCTTTACAGCAGAACAAAGTCAATGTGCTATGGGATTTATTGGGATCATCATGTCGACTAACCATAACATTGTTCGATAGCTGTTGGATTTCTATTTTCTTACGTGGGTCAACATAACGTAATTCGATGTAATCTGAAGCTTTCCATTTAAATTTATTATCGATTTCTTGCTTTAAAACATCCTCAGTCTTTGATTCGTCAACTTCAAGATACATGTGACGATAATTCAACTCATCAGTAGGACGTGCTATACCATACTTGCCACAAAGCCAAGGAAAACTGCAAATGTGGAAAAGTGAAGATATTCGATGCCTTTTCCTCGTGTCAAATAAGTCAAAATTGACGTAAAAGCGATAAAAAACATTTACCTTTTCAAATTTTCATGGACGCTATTTTTAATTTTGTGATCTTTTGTGAGAAAACGTTTTTTAAATTCGACTGTGTTGGGAGTGGAAGGTTCATCTACCAAAATATTACACAAAATGAATGTCACTAGACTTAGAATATCCTAAAACAAAAATATCAAATTTACCAGTTTTTGAAGGTGACTTGAAACTAAGAGAAGTAATTGAATTCAAAATTTTTTTAAAGTCACCTGTGCTGCCACTGGGAGTGGAAGGTTCATCTACAAAATGTAACACGAAACAATGTTACTGGACTTTAAACCTCTCAAACAAAAAACATCAATTTTACCAATTAATTGCATAATTATACATAATTTATCATAATTATTTCAATTTATGATTTTCTCAATAATAAAAAATCCCACCATATTAGATATACCTTTGAATGTTGATGAACTGCTTCTTGGTTCTTCAAGACAGATATACGAAAATGAACTTGACTCTAAAACAAATAAAAGATAGCGTAAAACACATAAACTCTTTCACCTCAGTAAAGAACATGCCAGTTTTTTTTAAACAGGAATATACAGTGCCATTTCGAATTTGAATTATAGGATAGTTGTATCATTCGGACTTTTAACACCTTTTGATAAAAATATGACAGAAAATCATCATATATTTGCGCATAGATCGTGAAACAAACATTTAGCTAATGCAATCGATGTTTTCTAATGACAATGCAAAGTAAAACCATACAACTATAAATATGATCATGGAGCTATATAACATAGGTACGTTGTGGAAACTCAGCAGCAGAGTATAAGAATTAAAAATTATGCAGGTGTTTAATTTACGAGTCTTTCTATCAACTACTTTGTTTTCCACAACATGTATGGTATCTAAAAATATTTGCAAGAGTAATTACTTAAAACCTAGCGATATTAAATACACATATTTTTCATAATTTAGGCAAACAAGTAGAGGGAAAATTACTATCAAAGTTTCGACATTGTAAATCGTAAATTGAACTATATTTATTGCTACTTAATTCGTATACACTAAAAATAATTTCGAATGCTTTACTTACTCGTAAAATGTTTTTTGAGATCAGGTCTTGTTTTCCAGTCAGTAGATCTTATGACTTTGTGCACCAGAAGAGGAAGCTCCGGAAAAGCTTGAAGGAAATACTCTTTATAGTTGCCTTCCTGGATATATTGCGATAGACGTGGACGAGGTTTATCATGCCAATGCTGATCAACGTTACGAATGAATCTCAAACAACTCGCCCATGAAGATTCGTAGGTTACAGTACTTTTTTTGTTGTTTACTTTAAACTTTATAAAATCTTTCAAGACTTCATCATCGATACGCTTCATCCATTCAGTGTGACCATACAACTGCTTATGAACGTCTGAAGTGGAAGAATTTCGACATTGTGATTTTTTCATCTCAGGTTGGTTCCCCAGGTCACAAAGCATGTCAAACTTCTCTTCATCCGATAGTAGATAAGGATGTTTCAAAGCTTTGTTGGCAGATGGCCTGTCTTCTGGTTTTAGCTGTAGCATCCATGACAGAAGATCATTGAGTACAGCATCCTTGATTTCCTTCAAGCCAACAGGTTTTCCTTTCAACATGTTATGTAATCGATACTCTATAGTTCCAAAAGGATGTTTCCCTTTAGTTGCAACAAAATAAGCAACCATTCCTGCATTCTAAACGAATGAAATCGCAACAACGTGAATCAATATCAAACATTTGAATATTAATGTTCAGTTGGCGAATGTTTACGTTCATACACCTACCATAACATCAGACTCTGGTTTGTAACGTCTTTTATCAACTATCTCTTCATCTTCACAACAATAAGATTCAGGAGCAATCCAATATGGAGTTCCCTTATTAGCATTGCTTACATGTGTTTTAAGGCCATTCTTCAATATTCGACTTATACCGAAGTCAGCTAACAGAAATTTGCCTTGTGCATCTCGGAGAACATTGGATGGCTTCAAATCCAGATGAAGAATAGGACGTGAGCCGCTATGAAGATCAGCTAATCCTTTTAAAATTTGTCTGAGAATTTTGGGAAGACATTCTTGAAGGTAAGACTCATCATTTGAGTCCGATCGCACAAAATCTTGCAGTGATTCTTCACAAAGGTCGAGTATTAAGTATACATATCCTGTTTTAACTTCCTCTTCTAAAAAGGAATAATTCACAACGAAATTCGACTCTTTCGCGTTGATTTGATTCAAAATTTCCTTTTCTTGCTGTGCTAGATCGATACTATCGCGAAGTATTCGTTTCACTGCTTTACCGTAACCATCTTTTCTCAGTCCAAGATAAACACGTGTCCCATTACTTCCTCTGCCGATGCAAAACTCTTCTGAGAAAATTACACGTACGTCGTTTACCAGTGTAATCTCGCTTGGACTTTTGCGCCCATATTCATACATCTCATTAAACTTCACCAAATGCTTCGTTGATACATCAACACATTTCCATGGTCGTGACACCGATTCTGAAAATGAGTGAAAATCATACCATTTAGAAAAGAATAAGAAATGTATCTCATTACTTGAAATACAAAGTAGCCATGCATGCAGTAGCTGATCGCCTGATCCAGGCTACATCAGAATCATTACTACAAATATACATTTAAAATTGAAATATTTCTAACCAAGAACATGTTTTTTATATTGTTTTACACTTACTGTGAAATGCTATAATTTTTCTAGATCAATGAATGGTAGTATCTTAACTCTTCCTGACTGTAGGGAAAATCAAGATACTTTCGTCCCTCACAAATTTGGTATTCACTACTTATCTATTAATGCTTGTCACATATATTACTCCATAAACGATTTTGTTACATGTATTAAAACCGGAAAAACTGAAAGACACTTTGTCAAAATAATGAGTGTGGGAAGCTCAAATGCTAATTGGAATATTGTAATAATTTCATGGCCTAATACTATGGTAAGCCCACGGCTGCGCACTTTTCTGCACATTCTAAATTCTAAATTCTAACTTCTATTTTTAATACACCCTGTACATTAACTAAAGTCAATGCAGAATATAAATGCAATATGCATTTGACAATAGGCTTAAAATTTCTTTTAGAATGGTGAACGTGATTTATATTATACAAAAACATGAATTTCTTGATAAAAAGTTTTAAACCAGACCCCTGTTTACGTTAAGTGATCTTATACTAGGGTGTGACTGACGTAATAAGCAGAACTTGTAATTAAAAATTTTTTCTTTATATTCTAGACCAGTAATGCAGATTCTATATTAAACATTTATATGGTAAACACTTTGCGTGAATTGTAAACAATATACATATATTACCAAGTTTGTCTAATTTCTTCTGCCAGAAAGCATCCATTTCAAAAGGATTCTGCTTTTTTTTGAGTTTTACCAAGCACCTCAGAGCGTTTATTTGTTTGTCAAAATCCTTTTCTTTCTCAGCAGTTTTAAGTTGCTCCTCGTAATGACTTATTTCTTCAGTAAAGAGAACAATTAACAATATTTGCAAAATGGTAGAAATTACACAGTTGCAAAAAGACAAAAAAAGAATTGTATGTGACTATTTATAAATTTTCCTGAACGCGGTCACTGTGGTTAAGAATATTGTTAAAGTTGCGTTTTGAGTTCATCAAAAAGCTTCGCTCTTGCCAATAACCATGCATTCTTGATTCAAAATTACAGATATCTCCGAAACTAATGAGAACATTTGTCATCCGCTCATTCCAATATACTGTTCATAAAATGGTGTCGTACGAAAGACAACTAAAGACGTAATAACACGTTTAGTTCTGCATTCAAACATCTTTATCTATTGTATTAATATCACAATTCGATATAAATGAGATTACAAATAGAATCTTTCAACAGTCACTTCTATAAATATTGATAACCAAATTTGACAAAAAATCTTTGATATAAATCCATATCATGATATAAATTTGCGGAATATTATTTTGCGAGATTTTTATCCCTCACTAAAACATTCACCTAAATTTTTTAACATGTTTACCTATTGAACGTTGATATGTCAAATGTACGTGATCTACTTCTGTTTCAGTGTTCTCTAAATCAACACAAAAAGGCATGTTTAACGATTTTTATATTGTGCATAGACACTTTTGCTATTTTTATTATTAACCACCTCATACAACATTCAGACAGTTAAAAAAATGAACTCAAAACTTCTTACTTTTATGACCAAGGTCCTTTAGTTTAAAAAATTGACCATCCTCAAGATTTAGTGCTTTTAAAGCTCTTTTCAATGTCAAGCACATGTATCTTTTCTTATCTGAATCTTTGCCATCATCATCACTCCTCAGCAATTCGAAAATAACATAAGCAAACGGTCGGCAATTATTTTTTTCATCGAAAAAATAAACAAGAGTGCCAGCGTCAGAGGAATCAAGAGATGCGTCATCAATTGTTATCACAATAGCATCTCGGAAAATCAGGTTTCCTTCTGAAAAAATGGAAAAATGCGATTCACTGATTTCGCCTTTTACGCCAGAAGCTGTGCAGACTTTCACAGTTTCCCCTTTCCAGTTAAGCTTTTTATATATATTCTTTAAGTCCAATACAACATTTTCCATTTCATCACAATGAAACTTCTGAAAATCTTTTTTGTTGCCAACATCAATAGCCATGATATCCGTTTCAGGATCATAAGAAAAATGAGAAAAGTGACCAACCACGCTGTCATCATCTGAGAGAGTGTATTTATTTTTTTGCATTAAACGCTGCACGTCCTTTCTGTTTACGTTAACTTCATTTTTTATTGCCAAGCCTTGATTTTCCTTGCTCATTTCCCGACAAATTAAATAACCAACATGGAAACAAGACAACGCGTAATATTTTTCATTTTTAAGGCAGAAGATTGTTAACGTGCTGCTCGTTCGGTTATCCTCGCGTTCAACTTTTAGCTTGTTGGACAGATGTTGAAACTTAGGTATTGTTTTTCTTTTTCCTATTGCAAAGAGAAAATAAAAATATGTATAACAGAACTCTTCTGATCGACGCGCAGATAAAGTGAGCCTTTTAAAAAATTATACGCCCGTATTCTTAAAGCTCACTCTCACTCACACTCAATGAGTGGGGCCTCAAAATCACCTCATGATTATTCGAAGATGGCAATTTCCCTCAACTGATTGCTTGATTTGAAATATCTAGGCGAAAATCTTGCCATAGATGGACAAATCACTTTGCCCATAGCTGTAGCATTTTTATTGCACACTTAATGACTGCAAGCGTGAGTGAGCTTTTAGAATACGGGCAATAAGAACGAATTAAAACCATATAAATTACCACTGTCTGAGCTTTTTTCACTTTTCTCCTCTTGAGCCACATTTGTCTTACTTTGATTGGAACCCATTATTTCTTTAATTGGTTATTTATGCCTCTCGTCTTAAGCACAAATGGTCCCATACAATTCTCATCATGTTTGAGACACCACACATGTTGTTTCACAGCTTTAAATAAAATGAGCTGTTTGGATTCATTCAAATAATTTATATCAATTAAGAAATAATTGTATTTTTCGTGTTTGTATATAAAACGACATCAAACTATACACAACGCCTGGCTATTCATGTTTGACAGTGGCTTACATGTGATTTTACGATTTTTATGTGCTACATAAACACATTTTACATCTACGGGCCATATACATTGGCGATATTAAATTTAAGTGCAATTTCTAGTGTATCAGTAAAAAAGTTTTTGATTTGATCAAATTATTCCATTTTTATGGCGGTTTAAAGTTGTGAAAATGCCCTTTTTGATGGACGATGTTCGTCTTAAGAAAATTATGGGAATGCAATACATTTCCAATGACCAATTCAAAGCCATATGAATAAAATTGTTCATGTATCGTCTGTTTTGTCATATCAAATTAAAAAACGAATAAACACTTGGCGGAGGAAATAAGAAAGACTTATTCTAAACCATGGGCATTTCATATCTTTACTATGTCTCTAAAGTTAAACTAGAGTATTTTGTATATCCTATAATTCTTCTTAAGTCGATATTTATTGATAAAACTTACTTTTTAAATTTGTCTCCGTTGTAAAACGTCTTCCTGCTAAATGATGTAACTTAGCGAGTGACGGGAATTATGAACAAACGTTTGCAGGTAAATCCATGACGACGGTCGTCTACCAATGGAATTTTGGTGGTCAAAACTTCCACTTTAACATTTTTTCAATATTCATTCCCTCCTGTAGTACAAAGGACAAAGAACAACCCAACAAAACAAAACCTTTAGGACAGTGTAAAATCTGTTGAAAGCTGCGTTGCAATACATTTCTTTGCAATAAAAGATAAGATAATTAATAAAAACATGTATTATTCATATTGTATTCATATTGCATTCATATCCGACTACGAGAGAACAAGTCATTTTAAAATTCTCATCATTCTTGTTTTGCTTAGCATGGTGCATTTAATGAACCGGTAACTTTTATTTCTTTCGTTTTTCAAACATTAACGTATATATGAAGTCGATCATCGATAATCCTCAATATTTGCAATAATTGTAATTTACTTAACTTTCACAAAGACTATAGGAATATAGCTACTCTTTAAAACATAGAGTAGACTGAAACTATGTGCTACCCCTAGGCATTTGCCGATTGTGCTATTCAAAGTGGCATATTATGCTAGTGGCAGTGCTCGTTTTTTGCTCAAATTATGCTCGCTTTTCAAAATTATGCTACTTTTTTAAAAAATCATTCTGTGCACAAACTTCACAACTCACAAGACAAGTTTGAAAATGTATTTTATTAACCCTGGCCAGACGTTCTGGGCTCGGTTGTTCAAAACCTGGGTAACTTTATCCGGTGGTTGGGCCTATACGGCGAATAAATCTGCTATCCAGTGGATAGTTATCCAGCGAACAAAAGTAGGTTGCACAAAGCCTGGATAGTGTGGTGGATAACTATCCGCGGATAGCTTGCTAGTTGCTAACCATCGCGTGTAGCAGAGCACGACACAGTTTGCGCAAGGTTTTGCACTCAAATGGCCTCCAGTTACCATGGTAAAGTATGCAAATTTCGAGTAAACAACGAACGGTGTGCGCGCTAGCAACAACGAATTGTGCGCGCGCTAGCAACAACGAACTGTGCGCGCTGGGTTTCAAAACAAATAAAAACAAATACAGTGAACACTTAACCATTCAGTTTCTGACAAAGCCCTGGATAACAAATTTAACATTGAATAATCTCGCTCGTTTCTGAACCACGCAGTCCGGCTTGACTTCTCTAATTCGTTCTCCAACAGTTAATTAGCGCTTGTTATATTGAAGCATCACACTTGCTTGCAACTAATCTGCAAGTGCACGGTCTTGTTGATCGTTGAATGAAGCTGCTAGGATGCTGAATACTCTCTCTGCGGCAGCAGACGATGGTTGGACCAATAGTATTTTCTTCACTGCCATGGACCAATTTGGGAGACGGTCTGCGTGGGCCTGCCACCACTCCACCTTCTTTTCCTCTTGTTCAATGACCACATCCTGAGCAGCAGCAACGTACTGTGGAAGCTCTCTAATTAGGCCATTGATAGTTGCATCATTGTCGAGGGAAGGGAAAATCCTTAGGGCTTCTATTGTGGCGGGTGTAGGCCTCATCCATTGAACGGCAACTGGACACATGATTCTTGCAGCTTTGAAGGCCGTGACGGTGTCATAGAGCTTCACATTAAACTTCTGCAAGAACCAAAGTATAGCCGGCTGTACACAAGCTTTTGCCTTCCGTTCTAGATCCGCGGCTCTCTGAGTAGCATCTTCGTTGGCAATTGCGGCAGCAACTGCGCGTACATTAGGAAAGTGCGGAGCTTGGCATGCCTCGGCGACAGCCTTTAACTTCTCGTAGCATGAAAACACAAGGGGCCCGTCACCTTCCAAGTAGTATGTAGCTTTGACAGAATGCTCTCCTACATCAATTGTCACAGCCAACTCGAGCTTAAGATTGACAAGGCGCTGAGGATCTGAGAGTATAGCTCGAAGCTGTGCCACAATCTTTGGAGCAATGTTCTCTACTTCCGCATCATTCAGGAATCCAGCAACGTCTCCAAACTGCTCCAGTAGCTGCCTGTAAACTTCCCATTTTGACCACCAGCGTGTTTCGCTATACGATTTCGGCTTTCGATCGGTTAGATCCTGCCATGCCAACTTTGCTTTATGGCTGTGACTGAATAAGCGTACCCACAGGTTTTCAAACTCCAAAAGAGTAGGAATTTCCAGATGTTTGCCAACATTATCGAGCGTGTGGGAAAAGCAGACAATGTTCAACATCTTTGGGAAGATGAATGCTATCCGATCCAATGCTGCTTGATTGACACTTGCTCCATCCCTCATCGCTGCAAGCAAAGAGTTCGCCTTGATCCCAAATTCAACGCAAAGGGCTTCGTTGAGAACTCTTGCTAGTTCTTCTGAATTCACCGACTTTGAGCAAATGTCAATTCTTATAAGACGCTGTGTTATCATCCACTCATCATTAATAAAGCGAAGGATTATCGCAATAGCCTCACCTTGCCTGGTGCTCCCGTCAAATATTACTGAAACGTCCTTGTCATATCTTCTCCTGGCAAAGACAGTTCCTTCTTTATTCTCTCAACCTCTTGCTTGAAAATAAGAGAAACATACTGTCCGAGATGCGCACTATGAGTGAGGCGATACCCATTTTCTCTAGCAAAGGACGTAGCCTGTCTACCTTCCTCGATTGGAATCCCTGCTTTCAAAAATTCCTCCACTACTTCCTGTCGGTATGCTTGCTCAGCCAACGGCAGCGTGTTGTCTTTACGAGTCTTCTCTCTGCTGAGTGCCTCGGCTATCGTTTGTTCTCTTAACCTTGATCTCTTCAGCGCATCTTTCCCTTTGGCATGTTTTCTTGAACTACAATGTGATGCTAAAATGCTCTTTTTGGATGATACCATTTCTCTGCAGGCATTGCAAAAGATCGTTGTGCCTCTGACACTCAGGTGCTGATCAGGGAACTGATTAATACGATCTTGCAAAGGGACATTTTTCGCATTAGTGACATTACTCGTCCCCCTCCTCTTGTATTTTCCAGTGGTGGATTCGAGGCGTCTATCCCGGGCAAGTTGTGCAGGCTTTGGTCTATCCTCTCTGTTCTCGCAACCTTGTAAACTATCTGGATGTAAGTTCACTGCACTTGACTGGTTTGGCGTGGCGGCCGCCATTTTGAAACGAGCACTGGGAGAAAGACTAAGGAGTGTGGGACCGAGACACAGACTTCCGGTTCCGTTTCATCGAACTCCCGCGGTATCTCAACACAAGTAAAAAAAAATCGAAAAATAGGAGTGGAAGCAACTGTTAATAGTAATCTATCGTTTTTAGTAGCTGAGATCTTCGTTTTCTTGAATTATTCTAAAATTGTGCTATTAAGACAAGAAAATATACGGATTATGCTAGCAGTGCTGCTTTTGGAAAAAGGGCAAAAATTATGCTCAAATCCTCAGATTATGCCAAAAATTATGCTAGCACAATCGGCAAGAGCCTAGCTACCCCAAGGAATATAAGTAATGGATGCAAACTTGAAGGGACTAATTTAATTCAAATGCTGGAAAATGCAGATAATGTTTGATACACAGAATAATGTTTGATATATACAAGTATCTGACATAGGACAACACATTTCCGACATTTTCAGTTGTACGATGAGCTAATCGAAGACAAGCAATCGTTTGTTGTTAAATCATTTCATAAAAATGTTCACGAATGACAATGTTTAAAGTATCAATGCAAAATAGTTTATATACATATCATAAATGAAAAAATTAATTTAGACAGCACCAAGAACAGTTTTCTCAAGAATTATATTCCTCATAATACAATTTGCTTGCGTGTCCACTTCCGTAAACGTAGTTCATAAAATTGTCATGAAGAAGGGAAAATATACACGCTAACAAAGCTAAAGCTTCGTGAAAACGTTAAATATAACACTGTCGAGATTTTGTATGTATGAAAGTTTAGTTGTGATTAAAAACGCAGCAAAAAAAAGCACTCTAATGCTATAGAATTGTTTTAGTCCGTATAGTTACTGTCTACAAACTTTATGTTTTTTGCGTGATGGGTAGAATATTTTTACTTCTACACTAAATGGGAGTATTTGTAAAGGGAGATATAAATAAGTTACATACACAAACTTTCGGCAATGAAAATTAACGTCTGACGCATTATAATTTTCTTAACGTTGTTAATATATACACCCTAAAAGAAATCACAAACTCAAGTATTTTTAAAGAATATCAGTCTTTAATCATGTAAAGAATACAATATAACAAAGTCTGGTAAACTTACAGATAAACCACTGATCTCCGATCACAGTTTCCAATAGGTATTTCAACAAGTGTATTTCTATCACGTTTGCCGTCAGCTTAGAAACATCAATAATAACGCCTTGTTTGCAATGTCGTCATAAAAAAGATTATTTTAACAATGTAGAAATTTCAAAATAACAGTAGGAAGTATTAGTCCGCATTCTGTGCATTAAAAAATGGCTTAGTAAACGTTTTTTGTTGCCCCCCACTCGTGCACCTTGCTTCTTTTCAATTTTATTGCGTGGATACTTGGCTATCAGTGGCGTAGCTAAAGGTCGTATTCATATTGCATTTATATCCGACTGCGAGAGAACAAGTCATTTTAATATTCTCAATATTCTTGTTTTGCTTAGTATGGTGCATTTAAAGAACCGATAACTTTTATTTCTTTCGTCTTTCAAACATTAACGTATATATGAAGTCGATCATCAACAATCCTCAATATTTATAATATTTGTAATTTACTTAACGTTAACAAAGACTAAAGGAATATAGCTACTCTTTAAAACATAGAGTAGACTGAAACTATGCGCCCCCCTCTTAGACATAGGTAATTGATGCAAACTTGAAGGGACTAATTTATACAAATGCTGGAAAATCTAGATAATGTTTGATATACAGAATAATGTTTGATATACACAAGTATCTGACATAGGACATTACATTTCCGACATTTTCAGTTGTACGATGAGCTAATCGAAGACAAGCAATCGTTTCTTGTTAAATCATTTCATAAAAATGTTCACGAATGACAATGTTTAAAGTATCAATGCAAAATAGTTTATATACATATCATAAATGAAAAAATTAATTTAGACAGCACCAAGAACAGTTTTCTCAAGAATTATATTCCTCATAATACAATTTGCTTGCGTGTCCACTTCCGTAAACGTAGTTCATAAAATTGTCATGAAGAAGGGAAAGTATACACGCTAACAAAGCTAAAGCATCGTGAATACATTAAATATAACACTTTCGAGATTCTGTATGTATGAAAGTTTAGTTGTGATTAAAAATGCAGCAAAAAAACACTCGAATGCTATATAATTGTTTTAGTCCGTATAGTTACTGCCTACAAACTTTATGTCTTTTGCGTGATGGGTAGAATATTTTTACTTCTACACTAAATCGGAGTATTTGTACGGAGAGTTATAAATAAGTTACATACACAAACTTTCGGCAATAAAAATTAACGTCTGACGCAATATAATTTTCTTAACGTTGTTAATATATACACCCTAAAAGAAATCACAAACTCAAGTATTTTTAAAGAATATCAGTCTTTAATCATGTAAAGAATACAATATAACAAAGTCTGGTAAACTTACAGATAAACCACTGATCTCCGATCACAGTTTCCAATAGGTATTTCAACAAGTGTATTTCTATCACGTTTGCCGTCAGCTTAGAAACATCAATAATAACGCCTTGTTTGCAATGTCGTCATAAAAAAGATTATTTTAACAATGTAGAAATTTCAAAATAACAGTAGGAAGTATTAGTCCGCATTCTGTGCATTAAAAAATGGCTTAGTAAACGTTTTTTGTTGCCCCCACTCGTGCACCTTGCTTCTTTTCAATTGTATTGCGTGGATACTTGGCTATCAGTGGCGTAGCTAAAGGTCGTATTCATATTGCATTTATATCCGACTGCGAGAGAACAAGTCATTTTAATATTCTCAATATTCTTGTTTTGCTTAGCATGGTGCATTTAAAGAACCGATAACTTTTATTTCTTTCGTCTTTCAAACATTAACGTATATATGAAGTCGATCATCAGCAATCCTCAATATTTGTAATATTTGTAATTTACTTAACGTTAACAAAGACTAAAGGAATATAGCTACTCTTTAAAACATAGAGTAGACTGAAACTATGCAGCCCCCTCTTAGATATAGGTAATTGATGCAAACTTGAAGGGACTAATTTATACAAATGCTGGAAAATCTAGATAATGTTTGATATACAGAATAATGTTTGATATACACAAGTATCTGACATAGGACAAGACATTTCCGACATTTTCAGTTGTACGATGAGCTAATCGAAGACAAGCAATCGTTTCTTGTTAAATCATTTCATGAAAATGTTCAAGAATGACAATATTTAAAGTATCAATACAAAATGGTTTATATACATATCATAAATGAAAAAATTAATTTAGACAACACCAAGAACAATTTTCTCAAGAATTATATTTCACATAATACAATTTATTTGCGTGTCCACTTCCGCCAACGTAGTTCATAAAATTGTCATGAATAAGAGAAAGTATACACGCTAACAAAGCTAAAGCATCTTGAAAACGTTAAATATAACACTGTCGAGATTCTGTATGTATGAAAGTTTAGTTGTGATTAAAAACGCGGCAAAAAAAACCACTCTAATGCCATAGAATTGTTTTAGTCCGTACAGTTACTGCCTACAAACTTTATGTTTTTTGCGTGATGGGTAGAAAATCTTTACTTCTATTCTAAATCGGAGTATTTGTAAAGGGAGATATAAATAAGTTACATACACAAACTTTCGGCAATGAAAATTAACGTTTGACGCAATATAATTTTCTTAACGCTGTTAATATATACACCCTAAAAGAAATCACAAACTCAAGTATTTTTAACGAATATCAGCCTTTAGTCATGTAAAGAATACAATACAACAAAGTCTGGTAAACTTACAGATAAACCACTGATCTCCGATCACAGTCTTCAATAGCTACTTCAACAAGTGTATTCCTATGACGTTTTCCGTCAGGTTAGAAACATCAATAATAGCGCCTTGTTTGCAATGTCGTCATAAAAAAGATTACTTTAACAATGTAGAAATTTCAAAATAACAATAGGAGTACATTTTTTTGAAAAAAATGCTATATGTTCTCCATGGGGGAGGGGGGAGAATGAATAATTCGTGGTTTAAATGTCCTTCAAATGTATGAAAAATAAATAGAAAGTTATTACATAGATAGTAAATTCACCAAATAAAGTGAACCATTTATAAGTAGAAAATAGCTTGTTCATAAAACATTCAACTTAAATTTTCTTTCTCCTCATCGCTACTTTCAAACTGAATAAAAATTGGTTCTGGTGGTAAGACTTGAACATCATTTATTGGCACATAATGTTTCTTTCTAAAACCGCTGTCATTATGAGTCCACGATGAACTGCTCGTCTCTTTATTAAATGAACCGACATTTTTTCTACTTTCGTTTCCCTTCCTCTCACGCGTCTCACCATTTCGTAAACGCTGTTTATAGAAAATAGAAAATGTTGTATGATAGAAGACAATTTAAAGCAATGATGTGAAAGATTTTTGAAACTTAAGTTAAGTAAATAGAATAGACCCATAGCAGTGCAAGGACAAACAAATAAAACATCAAATACATTTACTTTATTTTACATAGAAATACCTCTAAAGTTTCTTCATTATGTTTTTCTTGATCTGATTGACTTCTTTCTTCAACAACAACCTCCCTGTTTTCTTTAACGTTTCTTTCAAGTTTGTTTTTAAATGATTTATAACTACCACGGGAATATCCATCCGTAGAGATATCTGATTGGCTATCGCTTGGCCGTGGAGGAGTGGGTAACAATTTAGAAAATTCACTACCACTGACAATGGACATGATTTCCAGGTCATGTGATTTCTCTTCCCTTTTTTTGTCGGAAGAAATCGCTTGAAAATTTTGATTCTTAATTTGGTCATGAAGGACGGGCGATGATTTATAATCTACTTCTGACGCATCTGAATATGAGCTGAGTTGCGGTCGACCAGAAGTTTTGTAATAAGTCGAGGTTTTAGCATTTTTAGCATGGGATAGTTTTGGACGGTTTTCAACAATGTATCTTTTACTATTACCAGAACTATGACTTTTAGCTTCACAAACTTTCATTTCGTGATTCATGTAATCTCGTGTACGAGTTGAACCTTGATATTTCTTTTAGGTGGTAAGTAATAAGAGTGAACATCTTCATTTCTTTCATGTCTTGACGGCGAATTTCGAAGGTTTATTGTCCAGGCAGATGGTAAAGGCTTTCGTCTGCAAGTCGTCGAAGATTTAAAAGATTTTTTGTAGTTCAGTCTTGAGTGGTTTCTTGGCAATGATCTCCTTTGTCTACAAAGAGCAATGGTAATTTTGGAAACTCTAAAAACCAAAGGAAAAGACAACAGGGATGTATTGCTATCGCTAATTGGGGGCTCTTATTCATATATTCATGATATGCTTAATTAATATCTTTTGAAATGTATTGTTATCTACGGATCTACAACATGCATATATAAATAAGAGCCCCCCCCTCAATTAGCGATATCAATACATCCCTGAAAGACAACGTGTGTGTTTGATAAAATCAAGCATAATAAGCCATTGAAGGTGAATAAATAACAGAGTAGGATTACGTGTGCAGTTGAATAAATAACAGAGTAGGATTACGTGTGCAGTTGAATTCAAGTCAGTGACTTGTACTGCAACCGAGCTGTAATAGTATAACTGCTCTGCGGCAGTACAACTGATCTGTAATAGTATAACTGAACTGTGGTAGTACAACTGACCTGTAATAGTATTGCTGACCTGCGGTAGTACATCTGACCTGTAATAGTACGACTTTCCTGGATGATCAAATGTTCTCACAACAACAACAGTTTGTTGATAATGAACACTAGACACATCATCGTCATATTGACTGTAACCCATGTTGGTATAATTTCTCACTAAATCACTGTGCATCATGTTTTTTGAACGGTTGTCATGTGACGCGATGCTACGTGATGTCATTGTGGCTGTCTCCTTGGAAGAGAAGTTGATTGGCTGTAACTTCTCTGTACGTACTGGAGCATTGGACTTTAGCTTCACATATTCTACATATTTATCATAAACATTGAAATTATCACTTTACTTTTTTCTCTTTTCATGAAACTCTAAAGAAAACTTCCATTTTTCAACAACACGATACTCATTAGAAACTCGTCTCTCGTTAGATTCTTTGGTTCTTTTTTGTTCCTGCTGCTGACTTTCTTGCTGTTGACATTCAATAAAAGAGAATCCTTTTCTATAATGCTCCACAGATTTCTCATAATTTGTTCAATCCTCCCAATGCATTATGGCAAAGACAGACTATTTTATCTTTCTTCAGGTCGTCCACAAATCTTTCAGTGGTAGAATCAATATTTCCCAGGCCAAGAGAAACTTTGTTCCTGTTAATTATAACTATCAAATTATGTTGATACCTTTTTTGCCAATTGTCGTAGATACACTTAATAATACAAGCAATTTGAAAAGATCCCAAACGAAAGCGAAAGGTAGAGGGGTGGGCAGCGGGCTAACATGGAAGATTTTTAGTGAAAGTGAAACGTTTTGGATTGCATGGGAAATATTGTTCTCATATGAAGATTTGAAACAAAATAAATAAATTTCAGATCAATCGATTAGAAAAAATATTAGAATTCTAATACAATAATTAATCATTTAAGCATGCCATGAAAGTTTTTTAAAACTTTCATACTCCAACAAAAAAATACCCCCATGAAAACACAATAAGAAGTAAAGTGTTGATAAATTCTTTAGTTACACAACTTGTAATGTTTCAAAATTTCATCAGCTTCTAGAACACAAAACAGGTCGGCTACAATACTTGAAACCTACATACAATGATGCAATAGAACTCTTTGAATTTTTGACAACATTAAAAACGTGAGCTTTGAAATTTTGGTTTTTAAATGCAATGTCATTAATTATTTATAAACGTGAGCTTAAATTAATGAAAGACGAATAATTAATAATACTTTTAAACAAATGAAATTTCGAAGAGAAAAAAGCGAAATAGTCTACGATTTAGATGCCAAGGAATTTTCTCGAAACTTTGACAGCTTCACACGTACGATCATATTTTAAACCTATGTGTTCCAATTGCTTTTCAGTTTTCTCATTTTAGCGCTTAAGCTATTTCAAAAGGCTTTTGGAGATCATGCAAACAGATCACTTCAAAGACGTTTTTCTAACTGCTCAGTTTTTTATACACCCTGCGTAAGTTTTCCTAACTGTTCAGTTTTTTATACTCCCTGTGTAAGTTTTCCTAAATGTTCAGTTTTTATACACCCTGTGTAATTTTTCCTAACTGTTCAGTTTTTTATACACCCTGTGTAAGTTTTCCTAACTGTTCAGTTTTTTATACACCCTGTGCAAGTTTTCCTAACTGTTCAGTTTTTTATAAACCCTGTGTAAGTTTTCCTAACTGTTCAGTTTTTTATACACCCTGTGTAGGTTTTCCTAACTGTTCAGTTTTTTATACACCCTGTGTAAGTTTTCCTAACTGTTCAGTTTTTATACACCTGTGTAAGGTTTCCAACTGTTCAGTTTTTCATACACCTGGTGTAAGTTTCTGAACTGTTCAGTTTTTATACACCCTGTGTAAGTTTTCCTAACTGTTCAGTTTTTTATACACCCTGTGTAAGTTTTCCTAACTGTTCAGTTTTTCATACACCCTGTGTAAGTTTTCTAAACTGCTCAGTTTTTTAGACACCCTGTGTAAGTTTTCCTAACTGTTCAGTTTTTTATACACCCTGTGTAAGTTTTCCTAACTGTTCAGTTTTTTATACACCCTGTGTAAGTTTACCTAACTGTTCAGTTTTTATACACCCTGTGTAAGTTTTCCTAACTGTTCAGTTTTTTATACACCCTGTGTAAGTTTTCCTAAATGTTCAGTTTTTTATACACCCTGTGTAAGTTTTCCTAAATGTTCAGTTTTTTATACACCCTGTGTACGTTTTCTTAACTGTTCAGTTTTTTATACACCCTGTGTAAGATTTCCTAACTGTTCAGTTTTTTATACACCGTGTGTAAGTTTTCCTAACTGTTCAGTTTTTTATACACCCTGTGTAAGTGCCGAAGCAGGACAGCTCGGAGAACTTGGGCAAATTTCTTAACACATACGTCGTTTTGCTGCTTTTGCAACATAATAGGAAGACGTGAGTTTAATTTAGATAAAGAAGATACAGCAGGCGAAATAATTGATGGCATGTCGCACAGTTTTTTATCTATCATAAAAAAATATAAACAAAGAATTTGAAAACATTTATAACTTGTAGCAACAATAAAAAATACATTCAGGGCCGTTCAGAGAAATAAGGGGCCGGGGAACAATTTAATTGCGGTGCCTCTTCTCTGTGACATATGTGTTAAGATATGCTCTCATTTTCTTCCTGTAATTAGTAAATAATTAAGTCAAGTGTAACTAACTAAATGATTATTTTAAGAGATACTTATGTAGAATAATCAAAATACAATATAAATACAAGTAGTTTAACCATTGTAAGATAGATCATAGACCATAGACATTGACCATTGGTTGTGAACACAATGCAACGTAGAAAACATTTCCAAGCTCATCAACGTTAATAAATTAGTTCTTACGCTAAGGAGTGAAACTTATAAGTGAGAATAGTGAACGTTCTTTTTCGTACAAGTGTAAAATTATCATCATGAGGTGGAAAATCGTTGCATTCATCGAGGTTACATAAGTGCAATTGTTTGTATTTATTTAGCACAAGTAAAATGATGAACTTAGGTACACAAACTTTGTCCTAATTAGTTTACCGCAAATACAGCATAACCATAATATGAGTTTCTACGCAGCTGTATACATTTTCATTTTTACTATTGTAAAAACTTTAGGTCAGCCTTGTAACTTTAATTTTGCACTGTATGATATAGGACTGTTGATACAGTATGTACTGTCCTGTACAAGCATCATCAGCGCTATACATAAATTTTGTCATCGATGCCTAAAAAGCATAATGCCTATATTATAATTGTTACGTGTAAATAAATACAAATACTGTATTTTACAACCAATCGTTTAGCTTTACACAAGACAGGTTAACTGTGCTCGCAAGGGAAAATCTAACAGCAGAAAAATTAATACACATGTATATAACCTCAGGTATCATAACTTTGCAGATATACATATATAATAATAGAAAGAAAAGTGCAAAATCTATCAATTAAGTATATTTCAGTTGTACAAATGTACATTTACATCATTGCTTCCTACATAGTCATAGTGATTAACTGATTAGCAACCCATGCAAAAACAACCACTAACAGTCATCATTAATCATTATTCTGCATTATTATACCAGCCTGAAAAACGTCGTGGCTTCAAGATTGTTTCTATACCGATGAGATGTCTGAAATTGAATGGATCTAAAAGCATTCTCAAAATGTAGTGTAAGATGACCTAAGACATGTAGTAGAAAATATAAAGATAAAAAGCTCCAATGCCGTTTTACTAACAGCAAAGATTTTCACAAAACAATGATCTGCTCAACAACCACTTTTGTTAAGAATACATGTATTTGCAAAAAGTTCAGTTGTTTCAGATATGCTCCATATTTCAAGCATAACATAATTATGGAATTTTCATTCTTACAATGGAAAATATTTAATTCGGTAAAAGAATAATTATATAAATATTTCTCTGATGTTATAGGGCGAGCCATTCGTGAAACTATTACGAACTCTGCCAAGGTAAGCAGCACATTTGAATAGGTATTTTTCCATTATCACCATTATAGAAATTGTGGGAAATCAACAAGCAATACCTGATACTTTATACACAGAGTTGCCAAGTTTAATTTAATTGCCATAGACCATACGCATTTGTTTCTTACTTATTCAAATGTACTGCTTACCTCGGCAGAGTTCGAAATAGTTTGATTAGTTTCACGAATGGCTCACCCTATAACATCAGTCAATGATGTCGGAAGCTTTCGGAGGAATCGGCGGAACTCATTGAAAACCAAAATCCTTCCTTTGACTGAAACAATCGTCAATAAGAGAGTTCACCAAACACAAAGCACGCATAGAAATTCGGTTGGAAATAACCGCTCCTTCTCGGAAGACATAAAAATCTAAAAAGGGGAGTGGGCTTATCATGTTTTGGCTTTTTTTGCTTCGCCAAGTGTATCAAAATTATTTTGGTTATTATTGAATATGATCCCCCCCCTAACTATCGATCCTCCGCGGTGCCTGAAACTTGTATGCCGAAGGTTCATCTGAATTGTCAAAAGCTCTTTTGTGACGACGACATTAACTTAAAACTGACTTATTTTGTGTTGTTCAACACCTAAACTTTGTGAATTATAGCTTTGAAAAATCGTCCAGTTTGCAGAAATGCTTCTTAAGCTATTTTTATAGTTATTATGGATATTATTATTATCTTACCCAAACAATCTCATGAAGGGATTTTGAATCAAAAATACTTAAAAAATATTGGGCGCAAGGAGACGTAAAATATCCTGAGATCACGAGATAACAAGGAAAAGCATAATCAAGGAGTATATGTTGAATGTTAGAAAGTATATCACTACGTATGGTAGATACAATTTATAAATGCCTTATACATAAATTTGATAGTATAACTTACTTTCATAGTCGGGGTAATATTCCGTTCCTTCACCTTTAGACTCGTAACGCTCTGTCAATTGAAAAGTCACCAAACGTGTGACAGTATTTTAGTCAATAAAATTCGACTCTGAAAAAACCTTAAAGATATATCTATAGTTGGTGCATAAAGACATAAAATCTTTAGACGACGATTATCGAGGTAAAAAGATCAATAAAGAGTATGTATGTTCTACGATAAAATGTTGGTAAATATATCCATATTTTTGCATGTATAGCTTACACACAATTTACGTGGGTCTCGCATAAGTTTGATTGTATATAACTTACCGTCATCCATGAAGTAACTTTTCATTCGTTGAAGGCAACTCTATAAATTCTGTATTATCCAAGATGAATATCGAACTTAGGAAATTCTGCAATCATAAATACATATTTATCAAATCTTCGTCTTTCTCACTCATTGAAATGAAAAGATTAAAATAGAATTCTTGCACAGT